AAAGGGTATCCTTTTGATGTGATTACAATTGTATTTGCTTTGATAATCATTAATATATAGTAGTTTAAACAACTTTTTGTGGTTGAATTATGAAATCAGGATTTATATTTGATATGTTGTCGGAGAATTATATGTTGTCGCATCGTCAATGAATAAATTTGAAAGTATGAAAATTCTTATCATTAAATATGTAATTCAAAAATTATAAATGTTTTTTAATAATAAAAATGTATTTCTATATTTTTTTTCAACTTCTCTCCCTAAACCTAGCTGTAGCTGTATCCTTCTTGAATTCTTGCAACTTCACAACCAACCAGATGCCAAATCGTTTTGAACTTCCACCCCACTAGAATTTCCTTTATGCTCTCATCCCCCAATTTAATAGGATATTAGGTGTTGGATAAGTTAGTATATTTCTTGAAAAATGTTTTTGTCAATTCTAAATGATAGATTTTAGGGGGTTGAATTGATTTGTTGCCTCAATTATTTTGTTTGTTTTGTATGAAAGACCTGAGATCTCTCAATGTGGAAGAGAGAAGCTGGAGAAAATTTTCTAATAATTATTTTGGAAATGGCCAGAGAGAGAAACATGGACAGAAAATAAAATGATTTTGATTTTTTTGTCCATTAAATGTTAAAAATTTTGTAGATCTATTATTAAGCTGAAGATTTTAATTTTACGAGGAGATACCTGGTGACTTAACAGTATATAGAAGATCTACACAGTCAACATGTCAATATAGTTCTTTACTTTAATTAAGATCATTATCATGACAAATTGACATTTCTATTTGATCCTAACAAAAACAAAACATTTTTTTTTTTTTGGTTGGAGATGCAAATCTTTAGTATTTTTTTTACTGTTTTTTCATATAATATGGAATTATATAAACCCATTTCTCTGCTTCATTAATCAGTGGCAAATTGATACAATTATGATTTGATGATTCAATTTGCTACCCTTGAATTTCTTTAAACATGTCTCTGTGCAAGAAATTCATGGTATTTTGCTTTTGTGCTGGTATATACAGATTTGCATATATCTTGGAGTCATACAAACCAATCTCTTTTAACTAATCAGAAAAACAATCAAACAAACAAATTGGTTTCTCTCTTTCTTCTATGACATATCAAAAACAATTAACTCTTTTAAACCCTTTCTAACATTTTAATTCTTCAAATATGTCTAAGAAAATCATTTTAATTCTTCAAATATATATGTCTAAGAAAATCATTCTCTTTGGCTTATGTGTGCGATGAGCTGGTTGTGCTTGAATCCTGCCTTGGGAAGGAGCTTTCCTCCTCCATGCTCAGGAGGACCACCTCTATGGTAATCCACCACCAGCCATGGAGTTGCTCAGGCCTAGGATACTACTTTTGCTCAAATGTTCTTTAACAGGATTTCCTTTGCTAATAGATATACAATCTTAATCTTGACCAAGGATATATATATATATAATTGAATGTTTAAGTTTATTAAGTCTCTCTTGCTTTGTCTCTAATTTAGAAAAAGGAGATGGGGAAATTCAAAAAGAAAATTACAAAGGGAAATACCTTAACCAAATAACTAAAAGGGAAAAAAAATTATGAAATATTTCTTTTGTGATTGCATATGAAATTTGTATATATATATATATATATATATAAATTTAAAATATATATGTGTGTGTGTCTGCGTGCACGCTATGTTAAGGGATTAATATTCTTCAAAAATTAGCTTATATGGAGAGAGCATGGTTAACATATTAAGATGGGAAACAGTAAAGAAAGAGGGGAAGGAGATTAAAAGGTGGAAAGTGAAAGAAAATGGGGGAAGAAATAATTGTTGGCACTTAATAAGAGTGAATAGAAAGCATATTTAAATAACTCAATTGATCTAAGCTTCAAGTTTTTATTAAATTGATACATGAGCATTTGGTTTAGTATCTACTTCTTGGAATCATCCTTTTCCTATATGTATATTTAAATAACTCAATTAACTTTTATTAAATTTCTGTCACTATAACAAGTTTGATTTAAGATAGCACATTTTTAAAATGTGCTATTAAAAATATTTTTAATGACACTTTTTAAATGTAATTTTACTATATAAATTTTTAGATATATTATAAATAAAATGTAATTATAGAAATTGCATACACTAGCAAAACTAGTCTTTTTTATATTGCTACTAAATATGAAAAAAGTAAAGTAAAAAAATTTAAATAATTGCATTTTTTTAAAATTTTACTATACAAAACAATGTCCCCTAAAAAAGTATAATTAAAACTCAATTTTTTTAGTGTGTTTAAGTTAGCCAATTTTAAAATATCACATTCTAATTATAAATGTTTTTATAAAAATTAGTGTTTTGATTCATAAATTGACCGTTAACATGATTGTTTTATATCAAGTGACCTTACTTACGTGCCATTATTCATAAACTGATTTTGAGATTTCACTTGGTCAAAATCATTTAATGTGAAAAAGCCACTTCAAACGATTATTAGAAACTAATGACCAAATGATTGAAATATATATTAATTTTTGTAAACAATGATAACCAAAATGTCAATTTTTAAAATTAAATAATTAAATAAATTTTTTTTGAAAAGTTAAGTAACCAAATGGGTAATTAATTACCCAAAAATATTCTAATTAAGTATAGTACAAAATTAATGCCATGAATGCCTAACTAATTACTTCAAATCAGCAATAATTTTCTATTTCAACATGATAATTGTTCCTACATTTTCAACATAGTTAGCACCCAGAAATCATCAGATAAGTCCTTGATTTAGTAGGATCTAACCATCTACAGACTTAATTTCTCTTGTCAAATTCAGTCAATGAACACGAAGCTAATTAAATTAAACTGGCATGAAATTATAACATTAAAGTATAGAATTGTATTTTATTGCTTATTCAATGTGCAAAGTTGAAGTAATTTTGATGCAACAAAACAGCCCAAAAATAAATAAAATCAGTCCTATAATATTAAATTGCATTAAAGGGATCACTTCACACATGCACCCATAAGAGATTGACCACCAAAACTTTATTTAATAGAGTAATTAAAAGGCTCAATTTTTTTGGGTAATTGGTGAAATTCATGAAAGGATTTTCTTTTTCCTCGTTATTAATTGATGAAGATTGAATTGGCCATGCATTACAGAGAACTAACTTAATAAATATTCTCTATGGTAAGCCATCCCTTTCACACAGGCTTTAATTAGCTATGAAACCTTGCTATCAACGCGTGGATGGTCGCACCAAAGTTATAATATCATAATATCCAAAGATAAAGCAATAATGCTAAGAAAAATGAAAATCATCAACAGAAGAAAATACCAGTTAATGAATCGAAGAATAATCAACTGCGATATAATTATATTGTCACACTAATTCTACTATTTGATTGTTCAAATGATAAACTTAAATCTGATACTTATGTAATCATTATCAATTTATAAATACAAACTATGTTTTTCAATATATAGAATTCAAATTCTAAACTATTAAAAATAGAATCTCTGAGTTATAACTAAAGGTGACAATCTTATCTAAATTACGGCGAGGTCAATTAGTATTATATATATTTCAACATGGTTAGCAAGTAGAGGGACAAAAATTATTATATAAACCAAGGGCAAATAGGTATATTCATCATAATATTATTTTGCAGTCAAAACCAGAGTTCCAGGTTGGTAGAGTAAAGGAAGCTGACAAAACAAAATTTTCTCTTGAGAGAAGAATTCGAGATTCGAGAATAGGAGCTTAGTCCCATTTAATTTAATCAACCTCCCAATATTAAATAGATTAGTGTTCTTCATTAAATGGATTCAATATCATTGTTTTCCTTCATCGATTTACTGTTTTCTTTGGTGCATTCCCACATGGAGATGAGTGCTTGGTACCACACTTCAAGGGGATGGATTGCTTCCATTTCACAATACCAAAAAGGGAAAAGAAAGAAAATTACAAGCGTAGAAGCCTCCCCAATATGTTGAAATTTCAACAAACAAGAAGACTCTCTTTTGTCTTCCTTGGGGTTTCCATCACCACACCTCAAATTCCAAACTCGAGATACTTGCTCGAATTATTATAATTAATAAAATTTAAACAAATTAAGAAGCTGTTCATCTTTTGAAACTTGTATTTTATCTTATTTGTATGCATCTCTTCCCCAACATATTGTCCTATGTGCACTGCCGAAGTTGAAAATAAGCATGAAAAAGTGCAAACTTGCGCTGAAAATGGTAACACCTATGGTCCATTTTGTCTTCTAAAGTATACTTAATATCCAAAACCAAGACCCCAAACTTGCTAATTTAGTTGTTTATCAGTATCAGAATACGTATACATGAAAGTAACCAAGGAAGGTTTAAGTTGTAATGTGAGGGAATGCCGAGATATAGAAATATATTTGTACTAGATAATTAAATTTTGAGGGTAGGGTGAAGAGGGTAATATTTCATATTCAAAATTCGGATGCATATACCTAAAGCAGTTAGATGCTGAGAGGCATTGCCATGTGGCGGGTACAATGGATGGAAAGGAGATACCAATTGAGTGCTACTTGGAGTTCAAAAAAAGGGAGAAACAAAGGGCATGGAAGAGACTGAGAAGTAAAGAAAAGCCAAAGCGCAACCACAAGGTTGGATGTGTGTATGTATGAATTTAAGTAAGAAAAGTTTCAAAGCAAAAGAGAAAACAGAACCCAAAGAAATAAATAAATGAAAAATAAAAAGAAAGTATTAATGGCAAAGTATATAGTGGCAGATGCAAACGTTGAAGGAGTACTGCAATAAAAAAAGGGGACCTGTTTAGTTGGGTAGGTCTGGGTTTTATTAGTGCCTTCAAGTCTCTTGCTCTTTCTTGTTTCTTTGCTTGTGGTGCAAATTATAAACAACAGACAAAAGGATATATAAATATATGTAAAAAATAAAAAATGGGTTCTATTTAAAATACGAATATTTTTGCTCATTATATGAATCCAATGCAGGCAATCATGATTTTGATGGTGAAAGAGTAAGGTGGGCTGGCCTGTGTTCACTGTTGCAGGGTTAATTAACCTTCACCCACCTCGCTTCTCTCCCCATTAAAGATAAGAGAGAAAGAGCAGAAGAAAAAGAGTCCTTTTCTTCCTTTCTTTTCTTGTTTTTGTAGTTGTTTGGTACTAGCAGAGATCAAGCAAGAAAGTCTCATTTGTTTTTAGCCATTGTTTTTTCTAGTAATGGTTTGCTAGCTTCCTTTCACTTTCTTTTTCCTTGGCACTGAATGTGATAATGGCTTATAACATCCTTGCCAAGAAGAGAGGAGTTTCATCTCTCCTTCCTCATCACCATCTTCCTCTTCTTCTTCTGCTTCTTTCTTCCCTTTTCGTCGCAAATTTAGCCTTGTTTCAGGCCTAAATTACACAAAGTATAGGCAAGTAAGCAGCTTGAGGCTTGAAAGAATTCAAAAACACTTGGCAAAGATTAACAAACCTGCTGTCATGACCATCGAGGTATGTCCTTCTTTCTCACTTGTAACAAACAAAAAGAAAAATATTCCCTATTTCCTTTCCCCCCCAACAACCCGATGTTTTCTCTCATATCTCTCATGGAGTTTCCTGCTTTTGGTGTTCCTCTTTTGACGCTTTCAGAGCCCAGATGGAGATATCATAGATTGTGTCCATAAAAGAAAACAACCAGCTTTTGATCATCCTCTTTTAAAGAACCACAAGATTCAGGTACAAAGAAAAAATGAAGGCAAAATCTAAGAGGACCTCTCATTCTTTCTCTCCTTTCGGTTCCTGCTAAACATGGCTTAAACTTATGCCTTCTTTCAATGGAAATCAACATGGTTTAACTTTATGTTGGATGCAACAGAGAGTTCCCTCGGAGATGCCTAAAGTGAAAACGTTGAAGCAAGATGAGGCAAGAGAGTCGAGGGGTAATGTGGGAGCTGTAAAGGGTGCATGGCAAATGTGGCACGGGAATGGGACAAGATGTCCCAAGGGAACAGTTCCCATACGGCGCAGCAGTCTGCATGATGTCTTGAGAGCCAAGTCTTTGTTTGACTTTGGCAAGAAACAACGTCGTTTCACCCCTTCTCGCAGCACCGATGCCCCCGATGTCGTAAGCGGCAACGGACACGAAGTACGTACTATTCTCTTCCTACCTCTCCTCCTTGCCCTAAAAATTTTGTCAATATAAAAATGTCAAAAGTAATCAGAATGGACGGTGATTTCATGGATGTTGCACATTTTCTCAGCATGCGATTGCGTATACCGGAACATCCCAAGAGGTATTCGGAGCAAAAGCAACTATAAACGTGTGGGACCCTTCAATCCAAGTACTCAACGAGTTCAGTCTATCACAGATTTGGGTTCTTTCCGGATCATTCGACGGCTCTGATCTCAACAGCATCGAAGCTGGATGGCAGGTACTCCTTCCATTTCCTGTCCCTGCGTACCTATTATCCCACACTCCCCACCCCCCCGCTTTTTCTTCTTTAATTGTTCTCTTCTTCCAATTTTATAAATAAATAAAATAATAATTATTGTTTATTCACTTCAAGATTCTGCTTTGAATGTGGATGTTGTTATTTAATTAAAATTTAAAAATTTTAAATATTCGGATCAAGAGCAAGGCAGATGTATAGAATAATAATTAATTTTTTTATTTTATTTGGAATTAGAGGTTTTTGAAGTTTTGATTATTCTACTAGTCAGGTCAGTCCGGAGCTTTATGGTGACAGCAGGCCAAGATTGTTCACTTATTGGACGGTGAGTTTTCTATAATTATAGCTTACTTGATTAAAGCTTATGACCCTAATCATATTTTTATTTTATGCCTCCAATTGGTCACATATTTAATAATTACTATATCATACCAATGACTGTATATGAAAACGGTATGGATTTTGTTCATGTGGATGCAGCCACGTGCATGTTCCTAATACTAAAGTAAGCTTGATTTAGGGTTTTTATTAGCATGTCTATAACAATAAAAATAATAAAGTCAACTTCATTTAGGGTTTTTATTTTGTTATTAATACAAATCTTAAAGTGAAAAATTGTCCGAATTTGTACTCGAAATTTATATGATTTATAAATAATTGTTTGATGCATTTTAAAATGCAAATTCCTTAGAAATGTGTTTGAATCATTAACATCTTGCATATGTCTCGGATTTAGGGTTTTTACTTTGATTTGAAATCTAAATTCGAAATTTTATACGATTTATAATGAATTACTTTTAGTTAAATTCATAAATTATATATCAGTATTTTTGGATTGAAATATCTATGTGAATAGTCACGCAATCATGATTTTTTAATTAATGTCATGTGAGTATATAGGCATACATGTTATTTTTCTCCGCTTTTCCAAGAGAAAAAAAAGAGAAGGAGATGAAGAGAAACATGTTTGAATGATTAGCATCTTGCATTAATTGATTTGGGTTGTTTGCAGCTCAACCAATTTCCTTAGAATGCGAATGGAAAGAGTGCTTTCGAGTGGAAAAAGTTGATATTCTAAAACACCAATTACTTATAAAGTTGGTATTAAAGCTGGTTAGTTAACCATTCTTTCAAGCTAATATATATTCAATAAAAACCAAATCAAAAGAAGCCATGCAATAATTAAATGAAACCCCAACCAACAAAAGCCTCCATTATTGTTGCGGAATCTTTAAATTAACTTTTGTTGTGGCCTGGACATTCATTCTTCCCATGCATATTTTTCACTTTAAATCTTTGTACAAGAATGTAAAAGGTTGTTGGGGTTCAAAGGTAGATGGAAAAAGAACATTTATCAAAGGCAAAATGAACTGTTTACCTTTGACTACTGTTCGTGACTGTCTTGAGAGTAAATGTTGATTGCTTGATTTATGCTTCTCAACAAATCTTTTAACATGTCTACAACTTAAAGACAACTCATCCATTTGAGTGGAATTTAGCATTTATTTGCTGTGGAGATTAAGTGGAAATTAATGTCATGTAATGAAGTGAACATTAATTATTTAATTAATTAATTGTATATGGTAAGAAGATAGGAATTTCATAAAATGAAATGAATATTAATTAATGTTGTTATTGATTATGATGGGTGCTTTTTTATACAGACTGATTCCTATCAAGCAACTGGATGCTACAACCTTCTATGTGCAGGCTTTGTCCAAACAAATAGTAGAATTGCCATTGGGGCTGCCATTTCTCCTATCTCTCAGTATGCTGCAAATCAATATGACATTACCATCCTCATTTGGAAGGTAAAATAATTACATACTTAACTGTATTGCATTAATGAAATTTATATGTTTCTATATAACAAATTAATTAACTTGAAAATTATTTCTCTCTTTCCAATTTTATTAGGATCCTAAGGTAGGGAATTGGTGGATGGGTTTTGGTGACAACACCCTCGTAGGTTATTGGCCAGCAGAGCTATTTACTCACCTAGCAGACCATGCCACCATGGTGGAATGGGGTGGTGAAGTGGTGAACTCAAGGGCCAACGGCCAGCACACGTCGACGCAGATGGGTTCCGGCCACTTCTCCGACGAAGGGTTTGGAAAATCAAGCTATTTCCGGAACCTCGAGATTGTTGACGCTGATAACAGCTTGAGTTCTGTCCATGACATATCAACCCTAGCTGAGAATACAAATTGTTACAACATCAAGAGCTCCTACAACAATGAATGGGGCACATATTTCTACTATGGAGGGCCAGGGAACAATCCGCTGTGCCCTTGATCAACTATCCCAGCAAGATATATAATTAATTCTAAGATCCCACGTAACAAAAAAAAAAAAAATTCCTAGTGTCGAAAATTCTTTAAATCTGTAATTATTGAATTATGCTATTTCCACTCTTGTTTTTGCTGATTTTTACAATTTTTTGTTTGTCTTACTTTGTGGCGAAAAGGAATGTGTATCATTAGTTAAAATAAGACAAAAGGCAATTTGCATAAACAGGCATGGAAATAGCAATATTCTGGAATAGGTACGGCTTTATGTGAACTTTTTCCTTGATTATAACTTGTGTAATATTACTTCATAAAGCTAAAGTTCATGTCCTGTTTTAGTGAAACTACTTCTCAAATGTTTTTTTTTTTACTAGAAAAAAAAATCATCTATCCTCTCTTTGTTCTCCTTTTTCGGCCTCATATAAAATTTTATCATATGTCTACTTGATGTTTGTAGTGTAAATAAATACCATATTACCTTTATATCTAAACAAAGAATAAAATTAAATACTCAAACATTTAATACATTGATTAGTACATAATTTTCTTAATAAATAAGAGACAGATGATTTTTGTACAGCATCCTCATTATGTATAAGATTTTGAAGTTAAAAGTATTGACAGAAGATTAGGGTTAGGCCATCATTGAAGACCCAAGTAAAGAGAATAGTATAAAAATTACAAAGGCAAGTTGCAAGAAGGACCATTATCTCCCAACAATATAACAAAAGCGGGCAGCATATTAATTGGTGTAGCTAGAAACAGAAGAAGCTTATGGGCCAGTCAAAAAGAAGGAAATAAAGGCAGTTCAGTGAAGCATCCTATTCAATGCCATTCAATGTAGGTGTTGGAAAAGGAGCCCTTTCCCTCCCTCCCCTCTTCTTGATTCTCTTCTTTCTTCTTTTTTTTTTAAAAGAAAAACAGAAAATTTGTTTATTTATCTATGGTTAGATGAAACCTGTAGATGGTACAAGATCTTTTGGGCTGCTGGCTATTTGTTGTACAATTTGACCAAATTATTTTGATATCATTTATGTAAAAACAAAAACACATGTGAAAATACCATCATCTTGTTGTAGAGGAAAAAAATCTTGACCTTGTGTGACTCAATTGTAAACCATAAAAGAAAAAAATATTGAACCATATGATCTTAAGTTTTGGTGGGGATGTAGCAAAATTGATTCAATTGGACTGAAAATTTGATTTTTTATTCCTACTTGAGGAGCTTAAAGGATGTGTTCTGGGCCTTATGAGGGCTTACATTATTGAAATTTAGTCAGGGCTTGGCCTGGTGCTCATTGAATTTTTGGGTCCTAAAGGCCTAATCCTTAGCTTCTTTCCCAGGGGAAAGGGAAAGATCCCCATCTTCTTTTGCCAGTCTCCCTGGAAATCGGCAATGTTACTCCCCAGCAAACGTCAAGCCCATCTCAGTCTTGTTGTTCCTATGGCGAACCTTCTCTCGACTTCTGAAAGCCTTCACTTCCCGGACTGTGTTCTATGCATTGGATTCCTTGTCTCCTTTTTCTTTCCCTTGGATAGTATCACTGCAAGCCTCATCTTGCCTGTTGCGGGGGTGATGGTGCTGGCAGTTGCAGTAAAGGGAGCAGAGTTTTGGGTTTTAGTTTTAAGGCCTTCCATAGAGCAAGAAAAAGTTGAAAATCAAGCTGCGGGAGGGAGTGTCACTTCCCAATTGGGATCAAAAAATCCAGTAGTTATTCTTCTGAAGTTGAAGCTGGGAGTGCCTAGAAAGCATTCCCTCTGCCTTTGTTTAGTCTAACTCAAAGTTCGTCTGAAGTTTTGCAGTGAAGAATAGGGACGATGATAAGGGGCTGGAAAAGCACTTCCTCTACTTTCCTTCAACTTGGTGTCTCCGAATCCCTCACTTCCCTTCCTTACCTGTACTTTTCTCTTTCTCCTCCTGTTTTCTTTTATTCTTTCCAAACCCAGTTTTTCTCTACCTCTTTTTCCCGTTCCAAGAAATCCAAGTACGTATTTGACAAAATAGAGGATGCTTTGGCTTTCTTCAATCACATGATTCGTGCCCGTCCCCGCCCATCTATTGTTGAATTTAATCAATTAGTAGGTGGTTAGAATGAAGCATTATGAAACTGCTATTTCTCTGTTGAGACAAATGGAATTAAGAGGAATCAGACGTGATGTTTATACTCTCAACATCTTGCTTAATTGTTATTGCCGCTTGCATCGTTCGGATATTGGGTTTACGTTTTTGGGAAAAATGTTGAAGCTGGGTATTAAACCTGATACTACTACATTTAACACCCTCGTCAATGGGTTGTGTGTTGAATCTAATATAGGTGAAGCAGTGATCTTGTTTGATGAGATAGTCAGGAATGGTTATCAACCTGAATCGATTACTTATAATACCATAATAAATGGTCTTTGTAAAATAGGCTATACCAGTGGAGCTACTAGATTATTAAGGAACATGGAACAAAGAGGTTATCTACCTGACTCTGTAACATACAACACAATTATTGATAGTCTTTGCAAGGACCAGCTTGTAACTGAGGCTTTAAACTTCTTCTCTGAAATGACAGCTAAAGACGTTCTGCCAAATGTTGTGACTTATAGTTCTTTAATTCATGCCATGTGTGATTCAGGCCAGTGGAAGGAAGTTATGAGATTATTGACTGAAATGGTTGTTAACAATTGCAAACCAGATGTTGTCTCCTATGGTATATTGGTTGATGCATTTTGTAAAGAAGGGAGGGTTTCAGAGGCTCATGACATTGTTGAAATAATGATTCAACAAGGTGTTGACCCCAATACCATTACCTATACTACTTTGATGGATGGATACTGCTTGCAAGGCAAAATGGATGACGCTAGAAAAGTTCTTAACTTGATGATTATTAAGGGTTGTGTACTTAATATTTATGGTTACAACATCTTGGTCAATGGATATTGTATATTGCAAAAGATAGATGAGGCCATGAAAGTCTTTCACGAAATGTCTCCAAATGGATTATTCCCTAACACTGTTACTTACACTACTCTTATGAATGGCATGTGCCAAGTAGGGAGACTTTCTGCAGCACGAGAACTTTTCAAGGAAATGAGTGCTCGTGGCCTTGTTCCAAACACAATCACCTACTCTACTTTGTTACATGGCTTATGCAAGCATGGTCATGTTCATGAGGCAGTGGAACTTTTTCATTTTATGCAGAACAGTGGGATAGAAGCTAACATAGTCCACTATAGTATCTTAATTGATGGCTTATGTCAAGTTGGGCAACTTAATGTTGCAAGGAAATTATTTTATGCACTACCAGTCAAAGGGTTACGCCCTAATGTTTACACTTGTAATATCATGATCAAAAGACTTTGTGAAGAAAGGTTACCAAATGAAGCATTTGAATTGTTTAGGAAAATGGGAGTGAATGGCTTCTTGGAAGATAGCTGTTCTTACAATACAATCATCAAAGGATTTTTGCTAAACGATGATGTGTCAAGGGCAATGCAGATTTTACGTGAGATGGTTGATAAAAGGATTTTCTGCAGACTCTTCAACAGCAACAATGCTAGTGGATCTATTGTGTAGAAATGGAGGAGATCGATCTATTTTTGAGCTACATCGTAAAAACTGTGAAGATGATCAAAATGTCAACGTGTAATGACTTGTTATCCATCAATCTTTGTTTATTAAATTCTATTCTAAAAGTTCTTGTTTGCTGCAAAGAAAAACATATGAGGAAGAAGGCAATGTTTTTCATTTTTGTCAGCTCTATTTTCAAGATATATTTATAAATTTTTCTAATTTAAAATAATTTGTATATTTTTTATTTTTATTATCATTTTAATAGGATATGAATTTTCAAAATTGAAAATTTGAAATTAAATAAAAAAAATACAAATAAATAATTAATTTGAAACCTTTGTTAGCACTAAATATTTTACACGGTTTGATTTGGCTCAAACGTTAATTGAAGCTCAGGAAAATATATGCTTGTGATGAACTGACCCTTCAAGGATTAGAGTAATGTTGTTCAAGAAAAGAAGAGAGATATGTCGATTCGTGAAAGGCTGAAGGAAGTTGATGAATTGATGGCTCTTTTGATGAACTAGTGAAAAAGATTGAACAGCGAACAGAAGATAGAGCTGAGAGAGGAATGCTGCTGACAGACAGTCTTGCTCAATTTCATAAGGAGACGTAGTCTAATCGCCATGACAGACAGGGAAACCTGAAGGCATCACCAGAACCCAAAGTCCCGGGAACGTTGAAGAATTATATAGAAACCATGAAGGCTTCTGAGCCAGTGTATGTTATACAAAAGAGACTGACTGGTTCTGATTTGGATGAGGCTCAGTGCCGTTTGTCAATACCAGAAGGTCAAATCAATGCTGATCAGTTCCTTACCAAACAAGAATGGAAAAGAGTTCGTAAAGGTAGAGCCCTGCCGGTTAAATTGGTAGTGATCCTGTTGTGGAAACCAGTCTGAGGTTTAAAAAGTGGAATGAAGTTGAGAGAAGGTATGAAGAGACATTCAATGGTGCTGATGGGGTTCACGCTGTCATTCAGTTATGGTCATTCCGACATGACTCAAGGCTATATTTTGCACTCAATGCAGTGAAAGAAGCTAAAAGTGGAGTTGCTACTACTGATGGAAGCAATGGAGATGGTGCAAGTAGCAACCTCAGATGAAATCGAAGAGGTAGGATAGAATATATGTCCGCCTCAAGGATTTGAAGCTTGTCTTGGCACCAGAATTGATGATAGTTCATCCTTTGACCCATTTTTGTCCTGTTAATGGAGACGTAGAGTTGACTGAATTTAACTTGTCCCATATGAATAACATTGCAACTCAGCTGACTCCTACGAATAACATCGTTTCTTCTCAGGGGCCGTGAATTTCGTTGAATCTGCTAGTTAACTTCTCCAATTTAAGATCGGACATAACTGAGCAGCGAGACAGCAAACATTATAGCCTGATGATGATTCATGACCTGGAACTGGTCCTTCACCTACTTTCCGCTAGATCCGAATGGCAATTCAGGATACTAAGTATCCTGCTTCTCTCTCGGTAGTGTTTTGAGGTATTCGGACAGTGTTGGAATATCCCAAACTCAAGGTGTTCAATTCCAAAATCAAGGTCAACTTAACAAAAAAAGATACAATATTTGTACTAGAGTTGAATCCTTTCTGTCATTTACACCATGGAAACCCTCAACAATTGCATAGGCGTTAGACCAATCAATTCTATCTGTGAGCCCCTCAACTTCTTACAGGAATAGGTTACTTTCTCTAAAATGCTTAAAGGCTAATGTTGACAAATGGGCAAAATTGCCTTCCTTGCTCCTCACTTGTGCTCTTCATATGCAAAAAGAACTTTGAACTTGATAGAAATTGAACTTAAACCTGATTGCCCCCGGTCCTGATTACCAGTAATAGAGCAAATTTAACCACATAGGTCTAAGTACAACAGTCTCCATTCTAGATTTAACATTCCGTGACCGTTTGTACCTTTATTCTTCTACTATTGTGGAAGCCAAAGTGCAGGAAAGGGGTAGGTTCGAATCAAATTTATCAAGTCTCAGTCCTCCATTTGGATAATTCCGACGTCAAAATCATTCCAGAATCTGAAATGTATACACGACTCTACCTGGTTTACCAGTTATAGTTCAACTCCCTTGTCCCCTTCCCCCAACCGTCACACGTTCCTTTACCTTTCCAGGACAAAGGGCCAGTACATTAAAATACAAATTTAGGGTTGGTAGCAGACAAATTTTGAACTGAAGATGTTTGATGATGTTCAAGGAACACAAGGGAGCAAAGGGACCAAAGCATTATTTCCTTTCGGAAGTGACAGCTACAATCACTACAATCTCTTTTAAAACTATTACACGTGCATGTCCAGCTTTTGCTGTCATTTAAATATGCTAATTTCTAGTGTTCACATTCATTTCTATTCATTAAAAGAACTCCAATCATCCAAACATAGTGAATCAAATCCTCAATTTACAACAAGCAAAATCACGTGCTTCAATGTATTTCTTCTGTTTGTTTTTCTTTGTTTATTTTTCTCCACTGCAGGGGAATATTAAACCAACTCTTTCTCTTTCAGCTACAGTGCTTGCAGCCAAAAAGGAGGCCATCAAAATGGACTGCATCAAAGGTCATAAATCTTAGTAAACCTCTGAAACCCCACGAAAAAAAAATGGTGTATGGGGAAAAAGGCAAAACCCAACTAGCTGAGGACAACTGTCTCTTATAACCAGGTCATCTGTCAACCGTTTTTCACTAGATAACTTAGATATCCAACAAAAACAAAAAAGAGCTTATAGAGCTTATAGCACATGCCAGTGTTTTGTGTGTGCTGATAATTTTCTGCAGTAAATAACGACATCGTTTTCACGTAAAGATTCCTTTCCTCCCCAAGGCAGCCAAGCTAATAAGTTGGTTTTTTTTATATAAAGGCAGGCCAGCTACCATATGTTAATCCTGTACTAATCAGCTCGTGCCTCTTTCTTCATCCACCTTCTTTAGTTTATTTTCTGCTTTGGTTTCATGGCAACGACGTCATCGACACCAGATTCATCTTCAGATTTAAGTATTACAGTCGAAAGCAAACCTCCCGAATCGCGATTATCTGAATTGGGTATTAAATCATGGCCTAAGTAAGTATTCGAAAATGCATGCTAAACCATGTCGCTGCCTGTCCTAAATTGTTTTCCTGTTCATGATTTTGTTTTTCCCCTCCTTTTGTTTTGGTAGATGGGGTTGTCCTCCAGGGAAGTATTTGCTGAAATTTGATGCGGAAGAGATCTGCTATTTGCTTAAAGGCAAGGTGAAGGTGTATCCAAAAGGGTCATCTGAATTTGTAGAATTTGGTGCAGGTGATCTTGTGACAATCCCCCAAGGACTTAGTTGCACTTGGGATGTATCAGCTGCAATTGATAAGCACTATAAATTTGCCTCCTCATCATCTTCATAATTCCACCATCTTTTTAGCCATCTTTATCTCTCCTTTTTTTCCTTCTTCCTCTCTTTTTTCTTCCATTAATGACAAGTTATTCTGTTATTCAACAAGATTTAATACCAAAGTTATATCTTTCGATTATGAGAATTAATCAAATTCTTTTAATTAAAAATAATTTTCATCTATAATCAAACGAAAACGTTCGATTGTTAAAGATAAGTATCTTTTTGAACCAACGATTTAATAACCATATCTAATAATTTTTTAAATTTTAATATCTTTAATTCAAAATGATCTAAAATTTTACTTAATTTAAATGAAATCCAATATCTAAAAGTTTTAATCTAGGACAACTGATGTAACATTGTGTAAGCAACAAGTTAAAGCTTATCTTTGGTTCTAACTTTCAACCAAAGTCCAACAACAAAACCCACGTTTCTAAACGGTGACCTTAACGATGATGGTGACTAATGTGCTAAACGTGGATGGATGGCTTGGATTGATGAAGTGATCAAATATCTTGCTCTGGTATGTATATGGATTGGAAAGAATAAACCCAAACCCTCTGTGATTGCAGTGAAGTCCTTCTCGGTTAAGCTACTTTTCAGATAAAAAGTGATTCCATCCTGTAGTCGTTTTCTTTTGTTGAGTTTGGTTGGGTTCAGAGGGGGCTTGGGATTTTGACTAGTACTAGCTGCAGGATTGGGGAGAATACCCTTCAATTGGATATGCACTGAGATTGCCAATGGGAAAATTGGACTACCTTCCAACATTATTTTTGGATTGAACCCTGTTGTGGAACTAAAGCAAGGAATGACTTGCTGAGTCAAGTTGTTCCAAATCTACCTTTATATTTTTTCATTTATATTTGTTTGATGGTCATGGGTAAATTGAATGGATATTCTTGAATTCGAACTTTGAATTTTAGACTAATTATTATTAAATCGTATCTGAATTATTATTTCATTTATAATTATTTCATAAAATTTTAAATATATTCGAGATTTATATCAAATACAATATTTTATTAAAATGTTTAGATTTGATTAATTTATATTTTTAAGACAATTTTTACATATATTCTCGATAATATATCAAGAAATATTGTTTGATATATCAAATCGTGCAATTTTTTTTTCCCAAAATGAGTAAGTTAAAAAATTTAACTTAAATTCTAAATAATCAAGATAAAGAATAATCAATTTGAAACCATCCAAGTACCTAAACTCAAACATGTATATCACACCCTATCCAATTACCTTTTCAATGCATAAGACATACTTTATTTTAAATTTACAACTTATAAACAAGGTTTACATTTAGTTTTAACCTTAACATTGTTATTATTAGATATTTAGGTCATATATGTGTATATATATATATATATATATTTATATAACATTGTTTTTATTTGGTATTTAGGTCATATATGTGTATCTGTATATATAATAAAATAAAATAAAACTTTATATTATATATTTCGATAAAGAAAATTGTTGAAAAATAATGACTTAATTAAGTACTGATTAAATTCTTTTTTTTAAAAAAAAGGAGAAAATATAAATTGTTATTGGGGGGAATTAGACAAAAGGAAAATAAGAAGCGAAGGGGCGGACTCCGCTGAAGGTGGACCAAGAAGAACTAGCAAAACCAGAGCTTCCGCTGCTCATTGCCTCCAAAGGGTAGAGAAAGAACACAAAGAAAAAATGGAAGAAGCAGAGATGGTAACACCAGGAGAGATGTTGGGAAGAGCCACAGAGCTCAAAGCAGGGAAAGGAGCTTACGTGGGACAGCATAACAAGAACATCTACGCCTCCCTCACTGGTTTCCGCCGCATCCAATCCCCTCCTTCTGATTCTCCTGACCAGGTTTTCTTTGCTTTTTCCACCTGGGTTTTTTTTTTTACCCTTACATCAATTTAACCCACAAAGTTCATTTTTTTAATATTTTTATTCATTCATCATTATAAGCTCTGGGGTTTTAGCTTCAGGGGAGGGGGTTAAGCTTAGGTTAATTTTTCAAATTTTTTTTCTTGTTTGGTGCTGTGTTAATTCTCAACATAAATTGTGGGTTTTTGACTTAGATAAATTTGAACCAATTTTTTTTCTATGTTATGTTTACAAATAAAGTCTTGGTTTTTAGCTTAGATAAATCTTTTTCTTTGGGTGGATCGCGTTGTATGTTTAGGTTGGTATAAACTATGTATATAATGATTTTCTTTTTGAATCATAGTTTTTGTTGAATTAATGCTTGGATAATTAAAATTCATTTTGCATAATGTGTTTCTATTTTGGCATTGTAATTGATAATGGTGATCATAATCATTTATAGAGACCAACTGTGGAAGTAACTGGTCACAAAGCTCATGGTCCTGTTCCGGAGCCTGGTTCTGTTGTCATTGCCCGAGTAAGTTTGCATTTATCTTTTTCTTTTAAAAATATTGTGGAAGCCGATATATTAGTCATCAACTATTAATTATCTTAAGCAATATTTAGTTTCTGATATCAAAATCTGATGTTTATTTGAATAATAGGTTACAAAGGTGATGGCTAGGATAGCATCAGCCGATATTATGTGTGTTGGTCCAAAGTCTGTGAGAGAAAAATTCAGTGGTATAATTAGGTACCCAATCTTCTTTTTCTTTCTATCAGAAGTGGCGGTGCATCTACCATATGCATGTTGAGTTTTCTTATTTAAAAATGATATTTTCTGTTTGCGTTGAGCTATCTGTCAGTCACTTGGTAACTGGTTTCCTGAAAGCATTGTTGAAAGGTAACTATCCTTCATGTATATGTGGCCCCAAAACTATATCTACCTTCTTGCCTCGGTTTCTAGCATAGAAGTGTGTTTTTCCTTTCTGAGCTGCATGCTTTACTTTTTGTTGATAGAGTTCTATAATCTGGAGGCTGTATACCAATTTGTTTGCAAGATGTTTGTCATTTCCTTGTGGCCCATGATTCATGTAGTAAATGCCATGTTTGACAGCTAGCCATTCCATACAATTTATAGTGCATTCAGTCTATTATACGCTTAAACATGCCATTTGTCCATCACTTATAAGTTGCATAGAGGCCTTGAGAATTTCAAATGCTTGCTGACTTTATGTACTTCTGGCTAGATTTTGCAAGAGGTATGTATTAACTCAAAGACGGTTTATTTTAACAGGCAACAGGATGTTAGAGCAACTGAAATTGACAAAGTGGATATGCACTTGTCATTTCGTCCTGGTGACATTGTCAGAGCTGTAGTGGTATCCTTTGCGATGTAGTGTTGTCTTGTTTTTAAATCTTAACCTTTTATCCAAGGTGGTTGGAAATTGTATAACTGTGTTGACATTTATATTGTTCTGTTATGCAAGTAGTTTTCCTTAACACAGTGCCTTAATTAAGCTGTCTCTTGGAGATGCACGGGCTTATTATCTATCAACTGCTAAGAATGAACTGGGTGTAGTCTCTGCAGAGAGCTCAGCAGGTAAAGATTGATTTCGGTAGTTTGGCAATTCTTGTAAATTGGTCTGAAACGCAGACCTCTTATGTTTCTTGGTAGTCCTTCAGCTTTCTATTGTACTCATCCACTATTATGTGTTTGACAACGCCTCAGCTTCTCCAATTTTGTTGTCTATTATAGGTGCAGCAATGGTTCCAATAAGTTGGACGGAAATGCAGTGCCCGTTGACTGGCCAAATTGAGCAAAGGAAGGTTGCAAAAGTTGAAAGTTAACTAATTGGTACCAAGCAAAGCTAGGAGCAGTCTTTCATGTGCCAGTTTCCTAAGTTTTGCCTTTGAGAAATTGTATTTAGGAAACATGATCTTAGGCAATTGCGTATCACAGAACTCAAATTCTGACAGTTTTAGAAAGAAACGAGGCACTCTCAGACTTCTGTAGTTGAATCATTCTTTGAAAGCTTTAACTTTTTTATTCCATGGTGTAAACTACATACAGGTTGAGAATTTGAAATATGTTTTGTTATATGTTTTCGCTCACTTATTCAACCAAAATCTAGGCATCTTTGATTAGAATTCAACATTTGAGTGAGATTTTTTAGGGGAAGTTTTGCAGTAACAACAAGACTTCAATTGTCAAATTCAATAATGCTTTTTTAATCCATGTGTTAAGTAGGAAATAAGAATCAATAGAAGAAGATTTTCCCATTATGTTTTTAAAATTACTCAAAAAGAAAAAAAGAAAAAGAAAAGTAATATACGGATAATCTTTGAATTGCAGATTAGCCAAAAATATCAGTTGTGGGTCCTCAATCCTCCTTAAGGCCCAACCAATATCCACAAGAAAACTTAGAAAAAGAAATGAACAAAAAACAAAAACTATAAATTGAAGTCCCAGAAGCTAACTTCCAAAACTACCAAAAATCCCAACAGCATCTGCCACTGAACAACTCAAAGCTTTGAAGCATGCCTTCTTCTTCTCTGCTTCTCCTTCAACCTCTCACCTTTCCCTCAACTCCATCCCACTCTCCTTCCCTTCTGTTTCACCAAAATGCCAACTTTATCGCTTCCAAAACTTCTCTAAGAAAACCCTTTAACTCCAAAAAGCTCTACCTCTCAAAGCCTCAAACTATCCCATTTGCTCTCACGGAATCAGACTCTCCCAAGTCCCTTGAACCTAACCCTCAAACCCTTCTCCAAGAAGTTTCTGTAAGCACTAAATTCATAGTTTTTTTCATCAAATTTGGTTCTTTGCATTGTTTCTTTTTTAATGTTAACTGTTAACCTACTTTCTGTTTTTGTGGTTTGCAGGACAGTTTTGATCTTCCATCAGATTACTTTTCCCAGTTACCGGGAGACCTTCGTTTAGATGTAAGATGAATTTGGTGACTCTTTCGGATATAATTAACTATCATTTTAAAGCATGCCAATGATGGGTTTTTTGGGGTGTTATAAATGTGTCTATAGTTAAATGATGCAGCTTTTGATCTTTCAAATGGACCTGTGATTGATGAGGTTAGTTATCTTTACTTATTGCTTGGTTGCTTAATTTCTTGAATTGTTAGTCTGGTCTTTGAAATTTTGTGAGGTAATATGAAAAGAATGAATTGTAAGGTTAAGTTGTATATCTTTTGCTAGGAAGAATTCTGGAACTCTGATCCTAGAAATAGTTGATGCTTAGTTTCCTTATTCAGTCTCACTTTTTATGACTTCAATCGTAAATTGCATCAGCCGGTTCATGTACCTGTATTCTCTAACTATAATATGGTTTTAATTTCTCCATCTCTAAGATCTGAAATCGATTAATTTAAAGGTCCTACTAATTTACACAATGTCTAAATTGATTGAGATACGTAAATTGAGCATTAGAAGTGAATGTGCCAAAGAGGGATTGGCTCTGAGGTCAGGGGAGAGTTGTAAGTTATTGGGTTTACTCATTCAGCTTCTGTTCAGTCTGGCACTGCAATAATTCTACTGCTCATTAACGTCTTTCTAAAATGTTAGAACTGAATAGGGTATGAAAATTTAAGGATAACATAAAATGCAAAAGCAGAGATATATAAATATTAATTGGTGGCAGATTGAAAATTAATGACATGCTAAAATTCAACAATTGCAGTCCCTGTTCTAGAGCGAAGCAGCTTGCTGATGGAAGCTATAGAATTCAATTATTCAAATATCTTGTTTTAAATTATCCATGAATGCAAATAATAAGATCCTAGCTTCTGTTTTAGTTCATGATTCTCTTCATGTACAGATATCTACTGAAAACTAAATGTAAAATTCAGTGCTTGACTTATTTAGGAATGCCCCTTATTCTCTACCATGCTTTTGGAATTGAACCAACCATATGATACAATTGAAGATTGGCATGTTGATAACCTTTGTGTTACTGACAAGAATAAATTGCTGATTATTACCTTAGCTCTTTGAACTATATTTTTCAGTGTGGTCTAGAGTTGGGAGAAACATTATTAAATCTCTCTAGAGCTTGGGAGCTAGCTGATACATCAACTTCCCGCACATTAGCAAGCAAGCTCCCTTTGTTGGGGAGCTCTTTGACTGACAATGCAAAATCAGGCAAGAGAAATGCTTATGCAAATGATGCTTAAATACATTCTAAAGAATTTTTGTTCTGAAGCTTTATTCCATCGACTTGCTGCTTTAGCATTTGGAAGGCGTTTACTAGCCGCTGGAAGGAGGTTCCAGGGAATGGGACAGTATGGTCAAGGGGAACTACAAAAGGTAACTCAAGTAACCTAGAAATGAATGCTTTTGCTTAATGTAGTCTGTTTTATGAACATTCAAACTTTTTTCCTAGAGATTGGAGAAGTACTGAAATGTATTGTAGTTCCTGACCAAGAAGCAAAGAAATAGTGCAAAGACCTCATCCTCATCTCGGATTACTGCCATGTCAAAAAGTATTCTTGAGATTTTTTCCCCAAGGAAACTTTTATATTATATCATAAAATATGAAAAACTTCTCATTGAACCATTGTAGATTGCGAAAGCAATGACTGCAGCTGGAAAACTTCTGTCTGCAAGTTCGGTATCTACAACAAGTGACGAACAACCAAAAATGGAAACTAGGATGCTGAAGGTAGATAGCATCCCTCCACCTGTTCTAGGATGTATCTTCAATCAAATGCACCTGAAATAATTACCAAACACAAGTTTTTTCCAATTGCAGTTTGGAGACCTTCAGCTTGAGGTAACATCTGAGAAAGCCAACATTGGAGCTGCAATAGGTTTTGTTTTCGGGTAAATATCTCATTTACACTGAGTTCTCTTTTCTACTTTTATTTATGACAACAAATACTATAATAATGTATATAACAGCTCTTAATCTTTAAAATTTAGGATTCTTTCATGGCAAATAGCTCAGGGAATCCAAAGTATCCCAGAGAGTTCATTGGAATATGCAAATGACAATGCTCTGCTTCTAGCTAAGGTGCTTAAAAATGGTGTATCTGATTCCATTGGAACTTGTTCTCTCGCAAAACCTGTGCCCATTGCTGGATACTAAAACCTGAAACTTTTGGATGCAGTCTTTAAGGGGAGCACTGCTTGCACTTTTCTATTCATCCACATTCTTGTCCGCTTTCACCGCAATAGGCCTTGTCTTACTGGGAAGACAATTGAAGTCTTGAGGAAAAGTGACCTTCTTGGAGCTATCTTGCCTCAATTTGCTTGAAAAATGGCTAGATTAAATTCTATTTAGACAACAACAACCTGCAGCTTCGATACTCAATAATCAAGAATAGTATGGAAGTAAGGCTGCTACCCGTCTGTGACTTCAGAAAATACAAAAATTTTGTGATTATGAAAATGTAGTTATGTCATTTAGTTAGCAGATCCCAAATTTGTTCGGATTAAGGCTTAGCTGAGTTGAGCTCAGTTGTCATCTGGTCCTCTCTTTTGGTTATTTGGAACAAGGGAAGATTGATAATTCATCTAAATGGAAGATTATTTCTTATGTTTCCTTCCCTTTTTTTTTCCATGGAGAAATCAATCAGCTGACTTGTTGTAAATGAACAAGACAAATCGACACTGATGATGTACAATTTATACACTTCCAAGTTTGGAGAAGAGCTCCACCTTGAATGAGATTAGGGGTTAAAGTGAATTGCTGGAATCTACATGTAAATAGGTGTGGGTATCTAAGCTGTGAATGGTATCAACGTTGATTTAGAGATGGTGGATGTTCTGCAAATTTAAAGAAAACCTTCTCTCCTTTGAAGTCTTACGCTCACATTTCTATAAAGGACTTTCAAGTAGAGTTTTGCTGCCCATCTTTATATGCTGGTTCCTGTGGGTTGAAAGCACAGGCAACGAGGAGTCTATCTACAGAAAGTCATATGGCGTATCATGAAACTGCTACTTCAATGTAACGACCCTCACCTACGGTTGTGCACGAGTCATGTAGGTTAGCTCATACGAACTCAGCAAGCCTTCTAAATATTTTTATCTTACCTAGTAATTTCTTTTCCTTTATATCATTCATCACACTAACAATGATTCGTGCTAAAGTAGCAATTTTTAATACTTCATCACCATATGATTTCATAAAAAAAATACCAAGTATTTACACAACACATTTTATAAAGCATAACTTCAAATTTAATTAAACAATACCTAAAGGCCTCGACTTAAAATAATTTAAAAAATACAACACTTTTTTTAAATAGTAGACAACTCGACATCTAGTAAGCGGAGTGACACAAGAGTAGGGCTATGAGACATTAATTACCTACGCAACGAGTTGAAGTCCTCTCACCATGATTGCTCTCCAAAATTTACTTAGTTGACATGTCAACCAGTTAGGGTAAGTCTTTCATACTCAAGTATAATTGTAATGACATGCTTAATTAATAAAAACATATCAATGAGGATATCCTTGGGTAGGTCTAGTGCAGCCCGTAGGCTTTCTCTCATATCAATAACATTAACATCTATTCATGAGCACTCCCCACGCTACCAAATATGAGTTAGGCTTCAAGTCCCTTTTTACCTACTAGTGGGAATTCCCCGTGCTATCAAATATGACTCGAGACTTTAGGTCCCTCTTTACTATCAAATATTAATAATCAATAATCACTACTTTGTGCACAAGGACCACACAAATCTGATGCGGTAATAAGACCTATACTCGTAGGGTTTACCCAAGAAAATAAACCAATGGAATTTCACTTGCATATAATCAATTCAATCATAAGCTCAGAAGGCATGTATGCATGTTTAAATCATGAGAGCCATGAGTGATATATAGCCAAGTTCATCATAAAATCAGTGAACATTAAAATAACAAGTTCAAGTACAAAAATTAATAAGCATGGCATAGTTAAAATATTACACTCAAGCATCATGAAAATTGCCACCAAGACAGATTAGAAAATTCATTAACAATCTCTCTAGGGCCTTTATATGAGAGTGTAATGCATACATCATATTTTAAAGGGTTGTTTCCCATTTTGTAAACAGCTTGATAGTTTTGATATGCCCACAAAAACAACACGTATAAAACAATCTTAATAATAATTCCTAATCATTAACAGCTCATGCAACCCAATTGCAATCCAAATATAAACATTGGAACTCAATGTAATTGAATAATATCTAAACAGTTGACATATCTAGCATATTTAATCTATCATAATCAGCATTCAATAATACTATAAAAAAAAAAATTGCCCACTCACCTCTTTTGGTGGGAATTCTCAATAATTATACCTATTAATTTCGTCACAAAAATCTCATTTTACTCAGTATGGTTCCTTTTCAAATTTCCAGCACCATTATTGGTATTCAATATAATCTTTGAGAGCTACTCAATTTTAATTCTCCCGTAAATTTGAACCTTAGCTTAACTTCCAGCAGCTATATATCCACATACAAACACAATTCAAATTTCAGAACCCAATCAATCAGTCTTTTCACCAACTCAAAATTTAAAGCTCAACTTTCATAACTTTATGTTAAAATCCCATGGAGAAACCAATCAGCTGGATTCTTGTAAATGAATAAGACAAATTGACACTGCTGATGTACAATGTATACATTTAGAAGCTTGGGGAAAAGCTCCACCTTGAATGAGATAAAGAGATGAAGTGAATTGCTGGAATCTACATATGAATAGGTGTTGGTATCTAAGCTGTCTGATGGTTGTCAGAGTTTATATTGAGATGTTAGAGGTTCTGCAAATTTAAAGAAAACCTTATCTCTTTTTAAGTCTCACTCTCACATTTCTATGAAGGACTTTCTAGTAGAAAACATGCTTGTCTCAGTTGAGGATTTTACAAGTATCAAATGTTCTGAACGAAATTAGGAGATTTAAAATATCTCAACTGTCAATTCCCCATGGCTTTCTCATAACTTATGATGGTTGGTATGTGCATTGAAAGATTTCATTTTAGATATATATAAGCTGATTAGAGGAACTATCATGTTGTGCATAGAAGCCTAGTGCTTTAGGAGTCAATCTATGTTTTCCACTCTCTTGCACTAAGGGTTGTTGCATTCACTGGTTAAATGGTTTAAATCAGCCAAAACAAGGTTCGCACAAAGGGAGGCAAATGGATCTTTCTTGCAGGTGCTTTCAATCTATAGTCGACCTCTTCTCTAGTCACAGGTACACCATCTGCTTCCAAAAGGCAAAGAAGAATGCTTCAGAGATTGTAAACCAGACTTTTCCCTGGCACAAGCAAGCACTATTGATAGCTGACTCTGCATAGCATAACTAAATGATTAATTCTGCTTCTTATTACTTAAACATATTTTGCTTACTGTGTCTATGTTGACAGGAAAATGACATGCCGCGGCGACTTGGTTATAAAGCAATGTTTTTGACATTACATTCATTTCAATTATTCAGAAAATTAAGATTCTTCAACTCATGAATTGTGATGAAGTCATTCATATCAAAGTAATTGCCAATAATGCTCTTATCACTCTTGGTTTTACGTAACTTATATTGACTAATTGAAGCATTGGTTGTCAGTTTCCGATTGCTGGTGCAAATCTGTTGCATCGTCACGCTCTGTGGCAACTTGTCGATGCATGGAAATCTGTGGCCTGATGCAATCTGTTTTGAGTTATAAAATTTTAGATTCTTCAGTTTGTGAAGAGGCCATCCGACTCTAACAGTGAAAGCCAAAGGACCAAAAATGCTGTCACAATCTGGTGAGGCATAACCATGGTTTTATGCACACCTTCTTGCTTAATTAATTGAGGTTATGACATCAATGATCACCTAATTATGGTTAAGAAAACACTAATCAAAACATTGACTTATTGGTTTGAGACTTCTGAGGCATGGAGTGACTGCAAGTTCATTGAGAAGCCATGCCCTTTGCTTGCTTCTGGTGCTCACTGGGATTAAATTAATCACTAAAGGTTGCATATAACATATCATTTTCACAGTTTGTTTTTTTATAAGTGAATCTTTCTTCAATCATGGTGGCTCCCTATGAAGAACCTTTTATTGACAATTTTTGTTTTCTTGAGATGTATGGTGAAGTGTTGCCAAATAAACTATAGAGTTTTAATTGCCACATGCAACCTCAATGATTTGCTGCCTCACAAATTGAATAACGATATTAGAGGATCTATTATTGATAAACAAATAGATTAAACATATATTCATCCAATACAATTTTCATACTTAAGTCAGCAGCTTAAAAAACTAATTGGAGTACATCTGAAAAGGGAGCAGGGATCTTCAAATCCAGCCAATTTTAATGCAATACCCTAACATTAAATAATCATGGGATCCATTTTGCACTTTTAATTAAAAGCTAGTGACTGTGGTTGGTAATGGATTCCTCCAATGGTACATGTGCTGATGGAACAATTGAAGGGTTTTTTTAAATTCAGATTTGGAATCAAAGCCTGAGATTCTTTGTATCTTGGACAGAATTAAATCATGGATGAACAACTTTGCTTTGTATTATAATTAAAGTTAGGATGAAAAATCACTTTCAAAAGCTACATGATATAAATAATATAATTTGGAAATGAAAAATTAACCTTTTCCACTCAAATCTCAATTTTTATTAAAAATTTTGAATCTGCTCTGTGTTGACTCTGCCATATGAAAAAAACCCAAAGGTTCAAATCTGGATGCAATCATACTAGTATTAATGCATCAGATTTTATCAGTATTCTGTGCTTGAACAAGAATAGGGTGATCTTTTGAGTTAAAATAAAATTTTAATATATTTATATAAAATATTGGAAATATAACAAGGATGTCAACGATGTTATCTTGGCTTTGACAAATAAACCAAGAGTTAAATTCTACTGCCATTAATTGCTTTTTTGGCGTCAGACATATGGTTATCTAATTCTACTATACAATATTAAATCAACAGGGATGGATTTTTGCTTTCTGTCCATTAACAAATAGACTCTTAATAATTAATAAGGAAATACATAAGCATTTCATGTTTATTACGAGGAATTCTTATGGAGATTTAGATTTCTAATTACACTAACTAGGCAAGGGTTTTCTTTTCTCTTTGAGAAAATTAAAGGCAATAACTAGCTTTTAATGTTTGTTAGCCTAACCACTGGCTTTTAAAATGCTTTAATTATAAAAATTGGACTTTTCTAGATATTTTGCCTAGTTGAATAATATATTGATTTCCTTGGTTGGACTTTTAGATTAATGGTCCTGAAATTAAAAAATGTTCACAAAACCTTTACGTTATACAAAATGAATCTTAAACCAATCAAAATAAATAAATTAAGCTAACAACGTTCACTTACTAATTCTGCATATATAAAAAAGAAAGTTTTGACCCAAGTGGTTACAGATATAGCCATCCATCTCCATCATATTCGTCATATAGAGATAATTGTAAACAATTATTTCCATTGTTTAATTAAATAAAAGATTAATTAATTTCTTAATTACTGGAAACAGAAACAAAGCACGCCATTAACCCCAAAACTGATTACTCTGGGTTAATTAACTCCGAGCTCGGGAGTCGAGATTAATTAATTCGAGTGGACCAAATTTGCTTTTAATCTCGAGTCCCTTTACATGTAATGGTAATTAGGTACAAAATTTAAACTTGATTTTTCTCGTACTGGTTATAGATGGTCTTAAATCAAAATTTTTGAACACTTGTAGTTCTGATATGAATCTTTTATGGCATTATAACTTAATTATGGATAAAGAGAGTTGCTGTCACGAGAGGATGAGGGGATAGCAGCTCGTCCCACTTGGGCGGTCTGTATTTTCTTTAACTCTTTGTTATTCTCTCAAAAACTGGTTGCTGTGCAAATTGGCACCACTGGATTCTCATTTCATCTCCTTCACACATACACCTGTTCATTTACACGTGAATACACCCATAAAATATATATAAATATATATATTCATATATTTATTAACATTGAATGCTACTATCTGAATAAATCTAACCATTGTAAGTCTGCTTTGAAATTTCATTCTTTTAACCTCCTTTCACTGTCTATATAATCCCACCTTGGAGGCCCTCTCTCTTTCCATCCCCTCTTCCTCTTTCATTTTTCCACCATGGCTTCCCTCACTTGTACAGCCTCTGACCTCATCCCCCTCCTCTCCTCTTCCTCCTCCACCAATGCAACTGCCCTCGCTTCCTTCCTTTGCACCCGTTTTTCCACCATCTCCGACCAGCTCTCGGACGCCACTCACGCCATTGACAACACTTACCTCCTCTTCTCCGCCTACCTAGTCTTCGCCATGCAACTCGGCTTTGCCATGCTCTGCGCTGGCTCAGTCAGAGCTAAGAACACCATGAACATCATGTTGACGAACGTCCTTGACGCAGCTGCTGGTGCACTGTCTTATTACCTCTTTGGCTTTGCCTTTGCCTTTGGTTCACCTTCTAATGGTTTCATAGGACGCCACTTCTTTGGACTTAAAGCTTACCCTTCACCTTCGAGTGATTATAGTTTCTTTCTTTATCAATGGGCTTTCGCTATAGCTGCTGCCGGGATTACCAGCGGGTCCATAGCTGAAAGAACCCAATTCGTAGCTTACCTTATTTACTCGTCCTTTTTAACCGGCTTCGTTTACCCCACAGTTTCACATTGGTTTTGGTCGGGTGACGGGTGGGCCAGTGCGAGCCGATCCGATAACCTTTTATTCGGCTCGGGTGTGATTGACTTTGCTGGTTCGGGTGTGGTTCACATGGTTGGGGGCATTGCTGGCTTATGGGGTGCGTTGATTGAGGGTCCGAGGCTTGGCAGGTTCGATCGGGCGGATCGCTCCGTGGCGTTACGCGGGCATAGTGCCTCATTAGTAGTGCTGGGAACGTTCCTTTTGTGGTTCGGGTGGTACGGGTTTAACCCGGGTTCGTTTTTGACCATCGTGAAAGGGTATGGTCGGGGTGGGGGCTATTATGGGCAATGGAGTGCTATAGGGAGGACAGCTGTCACGACGACAATGGCTGGGTGCACAGCTGCCCTTACAACCTTGTTTAGTAAAAGGCTATTAGTTGGTCATTGGAATGTAATCGATGTTTGCAATGGTTTGCTAGGGGGCTTTGCTGCAATTACCTCAGGGTGTTCAGTAGTAGAACCATGGGCTGCAATCATATGTGGCTTTGTGGCAGCGTGGGTTCTAATTGGATTCAACCTTCTTGCATCCAAATTGAAGTATGACGACCCACTAGAGGCAGCCCAATTACATGGGGGGTGCGGCGCGTGGGGTTTACTCTTCACCGGATTGTTTGCAACGGAGGCATACGTCAACGAGGTGTATCCAGGGCGGCCGGGCCGCCCACACGGGTTGTTCATGGGTGGTGGAGGGAAGCTGCTAGGGGCACAAATCATTCAAATTTTGGTCATAGCAGGGTGGGTCACGGCCACAATGGGGCCACTCTTTTATGTGCTACACAAAATGAAGTTGTTAAGGATTTCCGAGAATGATGAAACTGCTGGGATGGACTTGACTAGGCATGGGGGATTTGCTTATGCATATCATGATGAGGAGGATCTTTCCCGCACGCCAGGGTTCATGATGACCAAAATTGAACCAACTAATGGAAGTCCTTCAACAGAGGGTCAAACATCACCTTCCAATGTATAAATCAAATTTAGTGATTTGCCCCTTGTAATTGTAAACCTTTATTAATTGTGTGTTATGTACTAAGTATATAATATAATCACTCAACTTTAGTCACATCCCTTTTTCTTGGAAAGGAAATTATCATAATCTCTGATATTTAACTTGTTTTCTTGAAAACCAGAACAGTTAGGTTCCACCAACGTGTGTTAAAAGTTGGAATATGGTTTTGTCGAAGACCTAAATTACTGAACTTTAGACACATTTGCACAATTATAAACTGGACATGAATATACTTCTAGGAAAGAGATTAGTTTCATGCTTTCCTTTTTGAGTTCCAGAGAAAATATTACTGGGAACTTGGACAAGGAAAGGAACCAAAAATGACCATGCAAAAAGAAACCAGAGAACATCACAAGACAGCCTATGTTATAGATTTGGATCATAAAGTTCCTTAAACAGCAATGGCAAAAATTTTAAGGAAAAAAAAAAAGTTTCATAGACAGCCTGTCTAACTGAAAGGGTAAGATAAATGTAAGGCCATCAGTCCATTCTGTTCATCAGAAGGAACTGATTCCATAAATATAGACCATAGGGAGAATCAATGCTTGATTTGGGCAATTTGTATGTTTGAGACCTAGTGACCAAAAGGTTTAAATAGCCATATAAGCAAGTTGGAGGGAGGTGATTTGAATGTATCCATTGAAAGTACTGATATACAAACTTTCCAACAAGGAAGGAAATAAATGGCTAAAGTCTTTGAACTATGTATACATACATTAACTTTGATCCATGAAATCCAAGTTGTACTAATAATTAACTCCCACTTCAAATCTTTTTGCCAGTTTCCTTTGATCTTTATAGTCAAAAGTCCAATGGTATATAGTTGATTTAATGCCCCCTATATTCTGCTCTCAATCACTAGCTTTCTCCATCCAACATTTTCTTTTTGGCTCACAGGATTCTGCTAGCCTCCCCCAAATAAAGAGGCCTACCTGTGGCATTCAAGTTACTAGCCTATCCCCATGATGCCAACAATATATCCATTGGGTTCCCCTAAGAGATCATTGCTTGCCAGAGAATTTATTCCCATGCCAATAAAATTGATGGTGCCAAATTTCTTGCTTTGTATTTTCTCAATAAAAACATTTTTCTCCAAGTTTCACCCCTTGATATTTTTTAGATAGTTAATGCCTTCATTTCCTTGTTGTTTCCTTTTGTTTTGCGTATCTTCTTGCTCTGCTAAGCCATGTTGATGGAAAGTGGTTGGAAGGTTCCCTCTTAGTTAGAAAAAGAAATAGAGCACTTCATACTTAAAAGCAATGGAAACAGACAGATACCTAGTAACTAAATTTGGGTTTCAGAGAATGATTGCTTTAAAAGTATATTATTTTAAGTAGGATTGCCAACTCCATGTTGCTTTAATTAGCTTGCCAAGAAGAAATTTGCCCCCTCTTGTACTGGAGTCCTAACTGACCGTATAGACAGCATGACATAGCCTGCCAAAGGACTAGTTGTGTCCCCAAATGTAAATGCCATAAACCCCCTTCCAACCCTATTGGAAAATTCATTTTTTAATCTCGAAAATGGACCAAAAAAGGACCCATAGTTTGTCACTGTTAAGTAGTCAGAAGCTAGAGCACGACTGTATTGATCATCAGCTAGCTCTTGAGTGATAGGATTTATGAGGTTGTAAATAGTTTCACTAAGATCCTTGTATATGAGTTTGTCCCCACAAAAAAAATTGTCCTCACAAAATGCTTCTATTGACTGAAGCATAGGAGATTCATTTGTGTCTCTATGTTTGTTTGTTTTTTTCCCTTGTCCAGCAGAGATTAGCAGGCTTTTTACAACTCCCAGAGTTGAGTGGCCCAAAGTGCTTGAAAATGCAATTAGTGACCCAATCTTTCTTTTCTTTCTTCTGTTTTTTTTTTTGGCAGAAGAAAGGTTTGTGTGATTAGTAGCCTTTGTCTCTATGGTCATTGCAGAATTTTTTATGAACCAGCAATCAATGTTGTCACATTTAGCTTGTGCCAATTGTAAGAACAATTTTTCTTTATGTTTGAAATTTTTTATCTTTACTGCATTGTCAGTTTGCCCTGTTGTGAGAACATTAATGGTCAAAGTTTTGATCTATCAATCAACCTGTCACTGAAATATCCCATATGTTGTTGTTTGGAATTTGAAGCCACCTATCATGATCTTTAACTTAAATGGTAAAAGATGACCATGTATAACTTCAAAGGCATACTATTGTCTGTGAAACAACCTTTTTTTTTTCTTTTAAGGGAAAGCTTTTTATGCAAGAAGATAACAAGGAGTTGTTTATCCATCTTACATGGGAGAGAAATTACTACGTATAAACATTATTGCATAACATGAAGATCATAACAACTCGTATTTCATGCGATGTATTAGATTTTGTTAATTTATTGATTAAATAATTCATTCTTTTTAAAAATGTACACCAATAATAAATTTCTATAATCACTTTTTCATATTTTAATATGATTTATTATGTCAGTCATGTTACAAAAAACAAGAGAGTATTTATGAAATAAATATAAGAAACAGTTTATCAGACGAGCTAGGTGGCAAGAAATCCTTTGTATTAGTTTCTATGAGATCGACACATGTTCTATGATTGTTCCCTTACTCTCCCAATTTCTTTGGCACATAAACCGTTCCTCTTTTACTTTTACCACAATTATCAACCATCCAAGTTCCAACATTGTTTCAATGGAAATTCTCAGAGAAATCTCCAAATTTGTTTACCATTTGTCAGTGTTTTCTCCCCAGGAAAGATCAGTTGCCATATTGATCACACATGATGGAACATTTCAATTTCTATACAACTTTTCTCCATCACCCTTTACTCCAACTCTTATGTGCAGTATTATTCGTTTCGTCAAGCATCCCAGTCTCCTTGTCTGAGATCAAGAACACTTGGGTTTTCAATGATTACCGATCCATGATCTTATTTGAGAGCTTCGGATTTGGCAAAAATGGCCATGTAGAAATCTCAGTAAGGAATGTTACATGGACATCGAGGCATCAAAGCACCCAACCAAACCCTTCCTCCATGGGATTTTTCATTGCTAGCATCCATTCATTGCGAAGCATTTGGAATGAATCAGAGTCCAGTGAGGGCTTTTGTGTATTATCAAGCAGGTATGGCAAAGTCATATTCAAGTTCGAAAACCTTACTGCTGATTCGTCTTATAGCGGTTCTATAGAAATCAATGCCCCTGATAAATATAGTTTGGTATTCGGAAACTGTCAGCCAGAATTCAGAGTGTCAATGCATGTTCATACTGAAATGTATAACCTGAAAGAAGGTGAAAAGGATTTCCTGCCTGCAGGACAAACCCCATTGCCAAAACTCTTTTTCTTCTTCTTTTTGATATACGCAGCATTTCTTCTTATTTGGGTTTTTGCCTGCATCAATCAGAAGCCTAGAGTTGAGAAGATTCATTTAATAATGGCTGCATTGCTTCTATTCAAGTGCCTTAAAATGATTTGTGCCTCTGAGGACAAAATGTATGTCAGGAAAACAGGCACTCCCCATGGATGGGATGTGGCATTTTACATTTTCGGATTCTTCAAAGGAATCATGTTATTCACTGTGATAATCCTGATAGGAACAGGCTGGTCATTCCTGAAACCTTACCTTCAGGAACGTGAAAAACAGGTTTTGATGACAGTAATCCCTCTACAGGTTCTTGAAAACATAACTTATGTGGTTATCAGTGAAACCGGGCCTGCAACGAGGGATTGGATGACTTGGAACCAACTCTTCTTGTTGATTGATATTGCCTGTTGCTGTGTAGTTTTTTTTCCAATCATTTGGTCAATAAAAAGCTTGAGGGAAGCATCCAAGACAGATGGAAAAGCGTCTAAAAACCTGGAAAAGTTAACACTTTTCAAGCAGTTTTACATTGTTGTGATGGGATATTTGTACTTCACAAGAATCATGGTTTCAGCAGTCGGGGCATTCCTGAATTACAGATTGGAGTGGATGATGACTGTTTTGGAAGAGGGTGCAAGCTTGGCTTTCTATGTGTTTGTTTTCTATAATTTTCAGCCAATGGAAAAGAACCCATACTTAGTGATTAATGATGAGGAAGAGAACGCAGCAGCTCAAGTGTTGGAAGAAAGACGACTCAGCTTCTTTTCACCCTTGAGAATCCTAAGTTCAGCATGGGTTTGTAATGTTATGTACAATTTTTCTTTATATATGATTCATTATTGCTCTTTTGAAATTTAAAAATAAGTTTATTATATAGTTTGACCAAAAATTTGAGTTTTCATATATTTTAAAAGTGTTATCATAAGAAAATAAGTTATATAGTTTTAATATTACGTTACATAAAATTAGAAATCACAAGTAATGATTTAATTAATGATAATTATAATAAAAAATTAATTATATAAATTTATTTAATTCAAAATAAAAATAAATATATTTAATAAAATGATTTAGACAATAACCTATAAAAGGAAATTAAGAAATGAATTATCCAAACCAATGGGGACTCAGCTTATCCCCTTCCTTAAACTTGCAGCTCCACCTTTCACTTCACTCCCTCTTCTCAACCTTAACAAATCCTTAAACACCACCACGTCCACGAACACCAACATCGTACGCTGCAATTCCACTGGCTTCCGCCAGACAGGTGGACGGTTCAGATTCGATTTCAGAACTCCGACGACGTTAATGATGAGTTCGAGTTCAGCAGTACCCGGAAGCAGAGGATCTGGTGGTCTGATTTCAATGATTACGATGATTACGATGATGTCTGGGACCTTGATGAGGATGATGAGTTCTGGGTTTTTAAGGTAGCTAAAAGTTATATGTAAAATGGAGTTCTTTTATATATATATATTTAGTGATTGTAACTTTGTTGGGTCATTGAGAAAATTGATTGAATTTTAGTTGAGGATTGAAATTAGTAGTAAACGTAAATAAAGGGGTAGTTTTTATGATTGGGTTAATTCTTTTGGTGTTGAGAAATGATGTGAATTTGGGGGTGGGGGAGGGGCAGAAGAGCTAAGGTGTTAAACATCTGAGTGAGAGATAAAAATGAAGGTTTAGCCTTGAAAAGTTGCTTGTAGTAGTAATGAGGAAAGCAGCTATCATGAAGGAGGAAAGGGTATCCTCCTTTAAACTCTTTTTCTCTCTGTTTCTCATTTTATTGATTTTCTGTTGGACATATTGAGTTTCTGCAACTTTTGATTCAAGAATAATTGAAAGTTGTTTCACAATTGGGCTGCAAAGAAAGGGGATATGGGGATATTCTAGCAGAGTGCAATCTTTCTCTGGCTGTAACAAATACATATAGAAAAAGATTGCTATATGTAAAGTTGATAGGAAGGAACAAGCTTACTGGCTGAAGTCTTTCTTAGCATCATCAGCATTATCATATTAGGGTCATCTAATGAGTAGCAGTAAATTTTAAATGCCTCAACTAAGATAAAGATGTATTCGAATTTGCTACTATAATTTCCATCTTTCTTTGCAAATGTGTAAATTCTTTTTTCGGGGAAAAAGGTAAGATTCTTGTTGTTTATACATTTTTGGTAGGACATCATGGCTTATCTGGCTATATGAATGATTTATCTTTCAGTTCCTTTTCTAATAGCTGACATATTTGGAGTAGTTGAAATCTTAAAATTAGTTGTAATATGTATATTCTTTAATTCATCATAAACTAGCAGGCTTCATATGTTTACATAGCACAACTTCTTCATGATCCTTATAATGTTGACTTCATGCTTCTTGATGATGGCAGTTACTTACCTTAAAGATGTTACATGCAGGTATTTAGAGCTTTTGGTTGGATGCTACCGGCCATTGCCATATCATTGCTGCTGGGATCAGGCCCGAATGCTTTTATCATGGCATTAGCAGTTCCACTAGGGCAGTCAGCGCTTTCCCTTGTGTTTGAGAAGGTTTCAAGAAGTACGAGTAAGAGATGGAAATCCACATCCAGCCCCAAGACCAAGAAGAAACATTCTACAAGGGCTCCTAATAACGTGAGAACAAACAAGGGAAAACAAGAAGCAAATAGGAATGGTGGAGAGAAGGCAAGTTATAGCTCCTGGCTGAATATGGATGGTGATTTACATGATAAGGGTGCCAAGAGAGGCCCCAGATTTGGTGGATGGGATCAACTGGATGATCAAGTTGAGACCCAAAAGAGGGCGCCGAGTCAAAAGGGAAATGGACTACCAAAGAAACAAAAGAAGGGTAAATTTAGTAGGATAGGGAGAGTCAGAGATACACCCTTGCTGCTGAGGTTGTTGATTGCGGTTTTTCCATTCTTGGGCTCTTTCACTAGGTTCCTATTTTGATTTTCTTCCTACTAGAAATTACACGGTCCAGTTCGATGGGAAAAAGAAACATGAACTTTTCATGTCTATGCTGCTGCTGCTTAGACACCATCAAGTGCTGATTTGATGCTGCAGGTAACTTTGGAAAGCAAAGGAAGATAAGTTAGTAATGTCTTCCAATAACATTTTCATGCACATATCTTGCTTCGTATCCTTTTATGGGCCATGTCCAAGCTTGTTCTCCATCTCCTAGCTAGAAGATGAAACCTTATAACCATATATCGGCAGTATAATACACTTTCATTTGTCTTCCTCCCCTCCCTTCGTTTTGGTGAGAAGAGTGGGGGACCCTGGGCGGGGATAGGAGGTCTTCAAATGGAATCATTGGCTTCAATAGCCATTGACCCATTGCTGCCTGAATGTACCAGAGCAGGAGCATCTACTATATGAGTGGGCTCCTTCCAAATTTTCATAAGAAAGTGCATCTTCTTCTTCTAAACAAAGACCTCTCTCCAGTCCATTTGTCTTTGGGCTCAGAATCCATATAAACGATGCTAAAATCAGGTTGAGCAAACAACAAGGCAAAAGCACTACGTTCTTGGGCTTCTTTACATCTATGGGTTCTGTCCTAGCTTATGATTCATGAATCATGATTATATGTATGGGTTGGAGAAAGTAGAAAGAGGTAATGGGAATGAAGTCCAAAGTCCAACCAAAAGCCCACAAATAGAAACTTGAATTTAACGTACTTAATCTTTTTCCCTCAAAAATAGGTTTGTATTTGTTTCAAAGGCATAACAATAAGGGAGGTGTAAGTAAATCAAATTAACATTAATACTCTAATTTAGTTGCTTGCAAGATTAATAGGGCTTTCTAATTCTTAAATGCAAAAAACAAAACAGAAAAGAGAAAGAAAATGTTATATTTTTTGTCTGTCATTTTATTTTTGAATAGATATAGAAAAATAATTATTTTCAATATCGAAGTTTTATTACTATATACATTAAAATACGATGTTGGACAATAAATATCTTCAAAAGTTAATTGTACAAAAAGAAAAAGAAGAGATAATAATAAAACTAACCCAAAAATTTAGAGCCTAAATAAAAAGTAAATAAGTGTGTAAATAAAGAATAAAAGAAACGTAGTACTAAAGAACAAGAAGAAAGAAACATTTTTCAGGACTTAGGCAGCAGAGTTCAGCGAATATATAAATATATAAATAGCTTCCCTCCCTTTTCACAATCTCTCCTCCCTCCTCATTACCAACAAAAGCAACTGCCAACGCACTCTCACGCTCTCTCTCTCTCTCTTTCTGTCTTTGATGCGCTTACTCTTTCCTTCCTCTCCAAACCCAATCAAAACCCTCTTCCAACTCGCCCGATCCCACCACCGAGTCTACTCATCGGCACCTCCGCCACCTCGGAGATCGTCAAATCCAATGGCGATCCCTTCAAAGTCCGCAGTAGCCGCCGGTTTCCCCAGCGAGGAAGGTCCAGCAAGAAAGTTCTGGTTGGAGTTTCGAAGAGAGTCCTTGCTCTCTCTTTACTCTCCTTTTGCTCTGTGTTTAGCTTCTGGGACTCTCAAGATCGACACTTTTCGTCATTATATTGCCCAAGATGTTCACTTTCTCAAAGCCTTTGCTCAAGCGTGAGTCCTTTTTCTTTTTTCTTGTTTCTTTTGGTCTTTTTCATGGAATTTTCAATCTGGGTTTTGGTTTCTTTCTAATATTTCTTTCTATTTGTTCATTTCTTTTGGAGAAATAGAATCTTGGAGTTTCTTTATTATTATTCTAGTTGCTAAAGGAGTATACTTTAGGAGTGGAGGGTTGTTTAGCTGCATTTTACTTTTTTGTTTGATTTATTTGCTTATTTGGTATTACTGGATAGTTTCGTTGAGGGTGTGGAGAAGAGGAAAGGGAAGTGAAATCTCAATCTTGGATTTTGCCCACGGAGGCTGATATTTCCTTTCAATAGTTAATTGCTTGAGTATCTTTAGGTTGCATACACAGTTTAGTTTGAAGAAAATGAAAATGGATCTTTGAATTATGAAGATCTTTTATTTTTTATTTTATAAAAAAAGAAACATCTAAAATATTTATGAATTGATTAATTTGCTATATTGATACGAATTAACATGCTTTTGAAATGATTAGAATTCTGATTTTGACTTTTTATTCGTATCTTTCTGAAGGTTAATGTAGTAAAGGTTTGATAAAGTTGCCCATTGAGGATCTGTTTAGTTGTATTTCATTCAAGATTAAATGAAAATTGAAGATTTTGCATATAGTTTTCAATTCATTGGTAATGTAGAATTGTTGCATTTGTCTGCATTCTTGCTGATATTCTTGTTAAGGGATAGCATCATGAATTTTTCACCATTTTGTTGGGTTGTGAAAAGTGAGCATTTGGGATTGTAGACAGGGATCTTCTTTTCTGTGCAACGCTGCTGATGTTTGAGCATTGAATTTCTGTTTTAGGATTGATATGGCTATTTTTCAACCCCTTCTAGTTATTGGTTGCTGAGAAAGTGTAGGAAAAGAAGATGAATGAAATTTAATTTCTAAGCGCCATGTGGTTGCTTAAGTAATTATTCAGATGTTTCTTTTCTTTTCTTTTTGTCAGCTTTCTCAGTAACCAATTGGAGGGTTATATTGTTATTATTTGGGGAAAATGTAATAACGTTACTTGAGGTGAGTTTCAGTTTCCAGAATTTAAATTGACATGTAGTGGTAGATTAAAAAGGCATATCTATTTTCCTTAGCTAGTTTTAATTTGAATTGGCTTGTGCTGTTTATATGTAGGTCCTTAATGGTTTCATGTTTCTTTGAATCTGGATTTCAGTTATGAATTGGCGGAAGACTGTGCAGATGATGATGATGCAAAGCTAGCAATCTCGAAGTTAAGGAAGAGTGTCTTGGGTGAGCTAAAAATGCATGATTCTTTTGTAAAGGTATGATAAAAGGATTCTTCTTTTCTGTTGCTTAGTACATGCTCAATTGTTAGAAAAGCTAGATCAAAAAATAAAATTGAATTTGGCTTTGGTATTGCTATTGCTTGTAGATTTATAAATACTGTATAGCCAAATAGTTAAAGCAGGATTTATTAGGAAATATTGGTGTCTAAAAGATGTTAGCTTGGGTCAACCGGCATATGATATCATCTAAAATAGAGATTTAGTCGAGACATTTTTACCAAGCAGTTTTGGTCATGTCAGGCACTCACCTCAATTTTCTTATTCAATTCATTAATGACATGAAAAGCCCATTGCTTTGATTTCAGTTTCATTTACTGATGATATAGAAGGCTAGCAATGAAATATTTGGGCCTTTAGGTAGGTAGCAAGTTGCAATTGCAGCAGGTTGGACATTGATATGATTAGGCCGATAAATCATCACTCTTGTAAAGAGATTTGAGGAAATAATCAGACTTGTTTGAATAGTTACTATCTGCCTTGTTATCCCTTTTACAATACTCTGAAGCCATATACTCTCTAAAATAGTTACTTAATAATTCATATTGTATCAGTTTCTCCTTAGTTCTTGTCTTGTAAGGGTATCCTCATGGTTTGAATGCTGGAGTTCTGCAGGAGTGGAGTTCCGACATTGTTAAAGAAAGCACTGTAAATTCTGCGACTGTAAAGTACACAGAATTCTTGCTGGCAACAGCTTCTGGGAAGGTTGAAGGCCTAAAAGCTGCAGGAAAACTTGCCACTCCATTTGAGAAAACCAAAATTGCAGCTTACACTCTAGGGGCCATGACACCTTGCATGGCGCTGTATGCCTTTCTGGGTAAGGAGTTTAAGGCACTTCTAGGACCCAGTGAGCGAGATCACCCATACAAAAAGTGGATTGAGAATTATTCTTCTGAAGGTTTTCAGGTATAGCATTGATTGCATTAATTGTTTCCAGTGGTCAGCTTGATTTTACTATACTTATTACGGTCTTGGAGGAAAACATCATTAAATAAAAAAGCCTTTTAACTCCCGTGGCTGAACTGTTGCATTCTTTGAATATAGGCATCAGCTCTGCAAACTGAAGACTTGCTGGATAAACTTAGTGTCTCATTGACAGGCGAGGAACTAGACATCATTGAGAAGCTTTATCAACAAGCCATGAAACTTGAAATAGAGTTCTTCTATGCTCAACCGCTTACTCAGCCCACTGTTGCTCCTCTGACTAGGGAGCATGACCCTGCACAAGATCGTCTTATGATATTTTCTGATTTTGATCTCACTTGCACAGTTGTTGATTCATCTGCCATTTTGGCGGAGATAGCAATACTAAGAGCCCCAAAATCTGATCAGAACCAACCGGAAAGTCAAACTCCTAGGATGTCATCTGCTGAGTTGAGGAGCACATGGAGTCTAATTTCTGGTCAATACACAGAAGAGTATGAACAATGCATAGAAAGCATTTTACCCTCTGAGAAAGGTACAGCAATACGCGAGAATGACACTTTAAAGTTTTAACATTAGATGCCTAATCTTCGAAAAGATGTCATTAACATTTCAGCTAGTTCCTTTGACATTGTTTTTTACTTCCTGTGGTTTTACAGTGGAGTTCAACTATGAAAGACTGCATAAAGCTCTTGAGAAACTCTCAGAATTTGAGAAAAAGGCAAATTCTAGGGTGATTGAGTCCGGCGTACTTAAGGGCCTAAATCTTGAAGACATTAAACGAGCTGGTGAACTTCTGATTCTTCAAAGTGGTTGCATTGATTTCTTTCAGAAAATCGTGAAGAATAAAAATCTTAATGCCAATATCCATGTGCTTTCTTATTGTTGGTGTGCTGATCTCATCAGGGCTGCATTTTCTTCAGGTATGGTCTTCCCCTCCTAGCATTACATAATAAGTATGTGAATAGCTTTCCTTCCATCATCTCCTACTTCTAACTTATCAGTTGTTTTGAGTGCTGTGTGATTTAATGATTTTATGCCTGTGGAGAAACTGAATGTCTGAATACATCCCCATTCCTCAACCTCCCCAACACTCTTCTTTTTTTTTTTTATTTTTTCTGCAACCTTTACTGTAGCTTTTCTCTATGTACAATTACTGACTGCTAAAACTGATAGAAAGTCTATTACTAAGTGAAACGATTTTGTTTACTTATTCATTTTAAGCAGGGGGTGTAGATGATCTAAACATACATGCAAATGAGTTCAGTTTTGAAGAATCAGTATCCACGGGTGAAATTGTTAGGAAGGTGGAGTCTCCTATTGACAAGATTCAAGCTTTCAATGATATCTTACAAGACTCTGGCAATGACAGAAAGAACTTGACTGTGTACATTGGAGATTCAGTAGGTGATTTGCTTTGTCTACTGAAAGCAGATGTAGGTATTGTGATTGGGGGGTCTAGTACAAGCCTAAGGAGAGTGGCGAGACGGTATGGTATTTCTTTTGTCCCATTGTACCCTGCCTTGGTTAAAAACAGAAGGAATATGCTGAAGGAAGCCCTTGTATTTGGAAGGGGCAATCAGGAATTCTTTACACTGCCTCTAGTTGGGATGACATTCATGCCTTCGTTTTGGGGTGGTAGAATCTTGTATTTTTTTCTTTTTCCCTTTTTTTGGGTTGGCACCCATCAGCCATCATCGTCTTCTGTTAGTTTAGGACAGATGAAGGAACCGTTTATACAGAGAATTTTACAATGGGGGCAGTGGTGGCAGCAATCCCCAAAAAAACTTTTTGTTAGTATCGGGCAACTGCCCCCACTGAATTCCTAAAAGAACTTTTTTTGACAATATCATGTAACTACCACAAGTTTTAAGTAAAGTTTTCATTTTGCCCCCACTCCATTTCCATTACCATCTCACTGTAAATTTCCAAGCATTTGGCATATGTGAATATGTGACTAATCCAAGATTTAGGACTTGGGATCCAATGATAAGAGGTTTAGGACTTGATGCAATAATGAAAACCTGATTCTGTGGATCAGATAAGACTTTGTAATGTTTAGATCAAAATGGTACTTTGCAACCATAGATTGGGCTTGACAAAATCATGGGTCTATTAGAAAGTTCTTGCTGGGGGTTTTGGTTTTAATTAAAGTGTAACATCAATGTTCAAAACTCTAAAGATGATAACATCTCATTGAAATCCCTTTCCTAATTTTGGGTCATCATAGTTTAGCTCACATTGTACTTGCACTTCAACTGCATTCCCGTAATGAAAGCAATAAACACATCAAAGTTAGGATGTTGACCATCACTCTCTTTCTGTCATTTTGTGTTTTTTAACTGATCCCACGTAAAAGGCATTTTCATGAAATATTATTTTTCTAATTAATGGGTTTTGTTAACTTTATATATCATTGCTTAGCTGTGCCAAATGGGGAAAAAATAATTAAAAAAAATGTAAAAAGTTAGGTGTCAAGAAAAATCTTGTTTGGTGGATACCATGATCTGGTGGGCACCAATGTCTACTTGTAAGAGAATCATGATTTTTAATTAATAAGAGAGTTAATTGAGTGGGATTAACTATTATCACTAATCCTTTTGATGTGATTACTATGGATTTTTCAATCATTATTTGCACTAACCTTCCTTTTTTATGGAGTTTGGTTTTAACAAGCTTGGTTACTTGTCCCTCAATGATTGGTTCACATTACAAATTTTTTTAATATTTTTAATTATTGACAAAATATAATATATATATATATATATAATACATGTACATGAAAAATTAGAAATTGAAAACTGAGAAGCACAAAAGCATGAATTTATGTAGAATTAAGAATTCTTTAAGATTGCTTAATCTAAATTGTTTATACATGGTATTTGTTAACATAATTATAATAAGTATACAAGTTATAAATTAATAATATTATAATTGTATCGTAATCTAACAAAAAAAAACTATTAAGAAAAAGAAATCTTATACTGAAATTGTTTTTCTTAAATGAAAATAATCTAATGATGCGGATCAAGCAATTGAAGGTTAATTTTCTTGAAAAAAATATGGGTTGGGATATCGTGGATGACCCCAAGCAACTAATGGGCAGTGAAGACTAAAGGCTTAATAGTTGGATAAGCACTTGGAATCGGACCAAAATAACAAAAAGTTCCCCAATTAAATAGTTAATCCAATCGGCTTAATTGACTTTTAAACTTGGATTTGAGACTATCCTATATGAACCATTAGACCTTCTCCACTGTCTATTCTAATGAAGAATTTTTAATGATGGATCATTACCATTTTTGTACCTCAAAATATTTTTTTCTTTTTTTTTTGAATTTGTTAAAGGACAAAGTGTTTTCCCATAAAAAAAAATTTGGGGTTTATCTGATAACTGTCCTTTAATTACTATAATACATGAGACCCACCATCTTCTTTTTTCCTTCCTCTTGCTTTTCTCTTCCCTTTTATTATTTTTGGTTTGATGATTGACTCAATTCTTTATGTTTTTTCTTGTCATGAAACAACAAAATATGAATATGAATATATATATATATATATATATATATATATATAATGGTTGCCTTTTCAGGAAATTAACTTTTTCTGGAGAATCATAAATTAAAAAAAAAATCAATGTTTTTTTTAAGTGAAAAAAACATTATCTAAATGCAGGAAGTGTGAATATGCTGCGAACAATTATAGGATATATATTTGGAGATGATAAAAATTTAAATACATTAACATAATAATACATGAGTTTGTATCTCATAACAAATTGAAAATTCTAGTGCCCACAAAAAGAGAAAATGTAAGATTTAAAGTAATATATATTAAAGTTAGTGACCAACCAAACAAGTTTGCCGATAAAGTATAAGCCCTTAAGTTTTTCCATTACAAAAACACACAAATAATTATTAAATAAATGCACAACAACTATATATTGCCTTGAAAAGTTACATATAGGAGCCCTACCCTCTAAAACACTATAACAATACATGAATTTTGCATTTCATATACTATACAATGAACAAATTACATAGATATGTAACAAAAGAAAACATTTTTAATTAATTAAATTAAAGAAAACAACCAAAACCCATCCACCTATTATGAATCTAAATCTCATGCAATTTCTTGGAAACATGTAAGATCCTCTCAAATATGTAAACTAGCCCTTTTGTGTTAGACTAGTTCCTTTTTTTTTTATTTATTTGTTGCAAAATTTTAAGCCACTTGACCAAGATAAAACAAGAATAATGGAAAAAGAAAAAAACCCAAAATTTTATGGTGTAAATTGTACGGAAATTTTAAATTTTTATATTGGTCTTAGTTACAACATCCTTCCACATGTCTAATTATTGAGTTCACTTTTCTTCTTCCTTCTTCTTCTTCTCTTCTTTCTTTTCCTTTTTATTTTGCTTTCCCAAATTTTATTTTAATTATTTAATTTGGAATTAATGGACCCTACAATTAGATGGTTCACCTTAGATCCCCACTCTAAAATTATAAAGGACCCTTCTTTAACTTAATTTTTATTTATTTTTTGCTTATTATAATTTTTTATTTTAATATAACACATAAAAACATGTGAAGTAGGCCCTCACATGTACGTGGACCTTTGTGTTTATATTTTATTTGCATTATTTTATTGTTTAGCTCTTGTTTTATCCGTCCAACATACCAAGAAAGAACTAGGCAAAATAATCATCCCCCAATTATATATTAATCATCTTTCACTCTTGAATATTCTCACCCTTTCTTCTCTCTACCTAGCCTCTCCTCTTCATTCTTCTACTCTTTTTCCTCTTTTTTGGTTTTTTTTGTTGGGGGCGGGGGGGTGTGGAGGTGTGGTGTTGGTTTAATTGTACATGTTGGATCAAGGATGATGACCGTGGAATTACTTGCAGAGTTGAAAGGAAGATATCAAGGCCAAGTTTTGTTCATGTTCAGTGGTATTCTTATACTGTTCAGAAATGGTTGTACATTTGAGCCATGGCCTAAATAATTGAAGCAAACAAGATTTGATGGTGATGACTTCGAGGAAAATATTAACCTCTAGGCAAGTCTAATGCTTGGCTTATCCTCATTTTTAATTTTGTTCTTCCTTTGTTTCCCTTTCTTTTTAACTTTCCTTTCTGTTTTATCATGTTTGGCTGCTGAGAAAATGGAGGATATTATATGAATAAGATTTGGAATCTTGGCTTCATGGAAGATTCCAAGGCTTCTCTTCTTTAATGATCACTGTGTCTTTTAGGCAACCAAACAAGTTTTCTCTTCCCTTTTTTCTTTTTTTTTTTAACTTTGAGTTGTTGTCTGCTCAAACACTGTAAGAGAAAACATATCTTTGTGAATTCTGAAAGACATAGTTTTTTGTTTCATGTCCATCAAATTTACATTCGTCAAACAAAATGTATAGCAGAATTGCATCAAACCTGTCTAGATTATATGATCATCCAATCACTATACTTTTTCCTGAATATCTTATAAACTCCAAGTCTTGAGTTAGTTTTAGTTTGAAAAAACGTGGCAGCATCATAATTCATGGGCATTTGAAAAGTTTAAGGAAGTTTTGGTTGGTGAATGAATATTCCAGGGCATATAATACTATCCTGGATTCATTCCAGGGAAAAACCTGACAAATTTGATTAGCTGGTTTTGAGTGTTGACCTTTAATATTTGGCAGATATAAATGGAAGCTTTTAGCATTACTCAAATGATTCAAGAAGAACAACCACTGCTATGGAACTCCATAGTGAACCAGTGCAGGAAAAATGCTGGTTAACTATATGGGTTCCAGGAGTTCTGTTAATCTATCAGGTTATGGAACATGTTTGGAAACTTGAAAGCTGACCTTCTTTCACTTCAAGGGATCTCCATATTTCTTACATGCAAAGTAACTGCTGTTTGAATTCACATTTGTAGATCAAAATTTCATGTTGTAATCCAAAGCATTATGGCCTGTAATTCTGCTGAACAGGCACCTGTATATTTTACATGCATCAACCCTAAAGTAAAGAGATTTTAGAAATATTTCTCTTGAAGTAAGGGTAGGGTTTATATTGCTGTGACTTGAGATGACTCTTCAGATAGTGAACATTCTAAGGCTATCCCAAACGGCCTGAGATGTCAAAAACAAAAAACCAAAACCAGATAACCTTTGATAAGGTTCAAGGGGCCTGCTGCCTTTTGGGATTTTAGAGGTCACTGAGAACCTGTCCTCAATTATAACATCATTTGGGACCCCAATATAGAAGCTACAATTTTTTGATAACAAAAAGGTGTAAATTTCTCTCAACAAATGTGCCATGTGTCTGTTAATTTCATATTTTTCCTATATGATAATACACATTAATCTTCAACCCCAACTCCCTTAAATCTTATAATTAGGTTGGTTAAATATACCAATATGTTCATTTAGAACATAAGATGCCCATGTCCCTCCCTCAGGACTATGGAATCTTTCTTCCTTTAATTTTTTTTTTCCTTCCAACTTTCTCTTGTTAGGGAAAAAAGGCAGAATGCAATGAGCAAGGATTTTGTAGCTTTGTGTATCTTTTATGCAGAACTCACAACAATTGTTGTCATCAACATCAACTTTTACTTTAGGATAAGGATGATGATTCACCCATAGTCGACTTTTTCATCATTAGCCGCCAGGTGTCTTGATTAATGGACATGACACACAACTAATAAGGGAATAAGGAAAAATTGGAAAATTAATTAATCCCATTAATTAAGAATTTTCTATTGGTTAATGACTCATCAAAGACTCAGAGACAAAGTTAAAACAATGGTGGATTAGTTCAAATGACAGCTCATTAAAACTTAAAACAAGATTCACATCTCTCATACAAGCTAAATTACCCTTTCTTTGGGTTTTTTATAAGATTAATTATTCCAACTTTTTGGAATTAACTTTTATTTTTTACTTAGGAATTGCTTGCTTTCTTTGGTGGGTTTTGCCTTCTTGTCATGTTCTTACCATCAAAAAAGTTATTAGCATTTACTTGAAAAGATTTTTGTACCCTTTGAATAAATTGGGATTTTGTGAAAAGATTTAGCATGGCCAAAAAGTAGGACTCATTCATGGACCTTTTTGTTGCCTTATATATATATATTTATATGAACGTTTGCAATTAGGATTTAGGGTTTATAATAGTCTTAGTTGTTTGGACTAACATGGAAAAAAATGTATAAATATGAAACAAGGAAAGGGTTGTGATTTTCAGACAATAATTATTGACAATCAAATTAATTTGTTTTTTTCTTGACCTAATAAGTTTAAGCCCATATCTCAATAAAATAATGATCAAAATTATAATAATCTTAAAATAATAAAAAAATGTAAAAAAATAAAAAAAATAACAGTTTGATGAATTAATTTGTATTTTAAAAGTTAAAAAAACACAATCGATACTTTATAATATAAAAGTTTGTTCATAAAATTGAAACACTAAGAAAATTCTGTAAAAGACTATCAATACTTTAAAATAATTATCTTTGATCTATTATTATTATTATTTATAATTTTTATAGGGTTTAGGGTCCAAAAGCAATGACTTGGATAAGGTAAGACATGAAATTGATGCTATTATTATTACTTTTAATCCATCCTCAAAACAAGTCTTATGAAGGTAATTAATTAATCAGTTACACCAACCAATTATACCAACACCTTGAAACCCATGAAATTGATTCAAAGAGTTGGGTATTAGTGAATATCAAAAAGGGGAAAAACAAAACCACTGAAGCAACCCTTTTCTTTCTTTAATTAAGAATCATTAATATATACATCTAGGCTACGACTATTCGAACTAGCTATTAGCTATTAGACTTTCTTTAAAGAAGAAGAAGAATAAGAGGAAAAAAAATAAAATAAATTATCTTATGTGACTATTTATTATATAAGAATTATACACTTTCTTACCAAAAAAACATACACTGTAATTAAAATAACAAGTCTTACATTAATTTGAATAATTTAAGATAAGAGAAATATATTGTAATCCTTAATTTATTCTTGAATGGTATTAATCAATTGAATTAATATTTTGTCTGTAAAATTTTATTTTTTTTTCCTGCTCCATCAGTAAATATATGTACTAAGTACATCGTACAACCAAACATATCAAATAAATATGAAAACCTAAATTAAAGAGAGTTTTAAGTATTCCACTGCACATTAAATGAGAAAAAGAGAGAGAGAGAGAGACAGTTATAGCAATAAAATCAAAACCAAATCAACCAGAAAATAACTTTTAAAAGAATTTGATCATTTTCCCAAGAAACTCCAAAAAAATAACTTTTAAAGGAATAAATTTAAAAAATAATTGAGTAATTGTAATATTCGGATATATCATTTATTAATTGAGTTCAAGTACTTCAAAATTAATCTCTACCCTTCACTAGACACAGCCTTGTTTGTCCAAGAATACAGGGAATCGGGATGCTACATGTTTTATGTATAACTTTTATTGGAACAACTTTTTGAATTGTAAAAATTTATTACTTTTTGTTGTTTTTCGGCTAAAGAAAATAAAATAACTACATCATTCTAGGTCATAAAATATCTTGTCTTTTGAAACTTTGATGATACTTATATCAATAAATAAATTAATTATAAAACCCTATTTTATTTACATTTACATATTAAAACCCTAATAATTTGTATAAGTCACTTTTTATTTTAATTATACCTCTATTCTTCCTGATATTTATAAAAATATTTTTTTTTTCAATTTCAACGGGGGGAAAGTAATAAAGACTTAAAAATATTGACTATTTTTTGTACTATAACAAAATGAACATTAGAATTTCAATGAGAGCTATTGCCCCCACTATGGTCTGTGGATCTTTCATGAAGCCGGCCCAACAAGCTCTAGAGGCAAACTGTCATGAGATAATATCACTTAATAGATATATCACCAAAAAGAAAGTAACGTACCCAACTACAAGTCACAAACCCCTATTTTCCCCTCCATTACTAGCCATCTATAGATTTGGGATTGATCATGACATGCATCAACATGCACTGGGGGGGCTGCCTTCTTTCACCATCAATGAGAGAGTGATGAAACAATACAGTGACTGATGAATCAGTTTCCTTGTTTCTTTCAATTCGTCCCATGCCACTCAAACAACTCCCCCCTGCCCTCTGCCCCCCCCCCCCCCCCCCACACCTCCAACCCCACCAGAAAAGGCAGTGATTTTTTGTTCCTTTCCACTTTTCTACTTTGTTGACTTTTGGGTACGTATTTCAGTTGTTGTGTTTGGAATATAGATAATCCAGGCTTGTCAGTTGAGCTTTACAGAAACATGTCTAATCCCAGATAATGAGAGATTTAAGGCTGCAAAGTCTGTGTTCTTTGCTAACCAAATTTCACTCTTTATGCCATCACAAAGTTTCTACAAATGATTGGCATCTGGTTTGAATATGATCACATGGATGGCCTACATGGGACAATTAATTTTTGTGGTTTCAAATGAATGTAATCTTCCATGTATTTTGTCAAAGATAAAGAGGATAAACTTTGCTTTCTTTTCATGAGATATATTCTACAAGTTTTTCCGTGAGATGGTAATATTTCGTAAAACTAAAAGAACAACAATGTTACAAAGGAAACAATAAACAAACATCTAATGGAGAAAATTGCATTCTAATTTGACAAAATTTTCTGCAATATTTTACAAATAATGTTGAATCGAATACAAAATCAAATGGGGAAAAATTCAGTGCTGGTAGTTAACATGAGAGTTAAGACTTCTATCAACATAAGAATCATGGACTCATTGATCGTGTGGTGTCCCAGTCTTCAAGACCTTTCAAGAAGGTCCTAATTGCGAGATGCTCAGCAGCATATGTCATGAAAGATGCTAATATAAGCCCTCCAACCACCATCAGACCCAACCTGGAGAGAAAACGTCATAGACAACGAAAATGATATAAGACCAGTTCAAGAACATTATCAAGGGTATTTTTCAAACATTAGATCTAAGGTTTTAATTCCTAATGATGACAAACATGTATGAAGAAATAGAGCTAGCAATCAGCAACAACATAGTCTTCCTTTTCCTTTTTCTATCAATGGTTTTGCAAGAGTTGTTATCTTTCAAAATCACAGAGGAGAAAAGAAGAATATCCCACTAGAAATGCATGCTGAAAGGAAATTACCTCGCAAACAGAGCAGTGATCCCAAAAATACATGGTAAGGACGGGGTGGCAATAGCCAAAAAGGCCATCCCCAACCCATAATACCAAGTAACGATATCACAAGATGATGCTTGCCGTTGATGACCTGAGAAGAGCATACAAGAGTTGTTAACCAATATAAAATTTAAGTAGACAGGGAACTAACACCATATTTATCATGACCATGCACAATACTAGATGTATATGTTCCAAGTAAGTAAACCTTTTCTAGAATCAGAATCAAAAGAATCCGTACGAGACGAAAAGGATCCCAATTGAGTTGCTGTTCTCCTTCCCCACTGATGAGTCAAATGAAGAAAAGCTCCGAAGAAAAGAAAGAAGATTGTAAATGTCCACTCATACATCAAGAGTAAACCAGTCCATGGCATCACTTGCCGAGGTACAATTGCAAGAGCAATTCCAAGGGAAACCACAGTAGCCACAAAACATACAAAAACTGAAATTCCACCCAAGTAGGCAGGCACAGGGAACTATATAAGACCAAATAATAGAAGTGAGAAATTAATAAGTTACATCAACTTTAAGTTGACAAAGAGGATAATAGGTTTTACGAAGCCAGAAAGAATCCAGCTTAAAAGATGAAGATAGGAAACTAACTTGCTGGTTAGAATTAATGGTAGGAGATGAAGAAACTCCAGTGTAAGCAACTGTTCCACTTGACCTAATTATGTAGTAAAGGTGTCTGATCTGATTGACTAATGAAGTTCTACAAAGCAAACCCCCTGTCTGCACCAAAAAGTAACGTGGTTTGAGAACTGGACAACAATGACCCAGGCATTAATTTCAGAAAAGCAGAATAACACATAGCTACTAACCTGAAGGAAAAAGCGATAGTAACAAAAAAGTAGTGCACAAAAAGGCATCAGGAAAAGGAATTTGACCAGAAGCTCATCATTAGGATTTTTGCCCCTTGCAGTTCCAGGAAGGGATTCTTCAAGCTGTTCCCTAACATTCTGCAGCATCAGCAAACAAATTATATTAGACATTTGTCCTATTGACAGAGCAGATGGAAATATATCAGAGCTTTACATCTAAATTTGCTAAGGAGTCAGCTTTTACCTGCCAGACATCAACAGGTTTTAAGAGCCAAGATGTCCACCAATCCCAAGGTTTAAGAGGGCCAAGTGTATAGTGAATAACATGAAGTTCACTTTCATCTACCATCCACTGCACAAACAATGCATAAAGCGATGAGGATACTTAACCAGAAAATAAAAATAGCATTAGCAAAAGCAGAATTTTGTGCCTTTTTTGTTTGCATAAGTTTCATAGTTAAATAGTTAAAAAAAGAAAATCCTGACACCCAAGGAAAGGAACTGAAACAAATCGTCATGTTCTAAAAACAAAAGAAAGTCTACGAAAGTCTGTCATCAGAATGCACAAGGTGAGGATTCAAACAAATGAAAAGCAAATTGTCCAAGGGAATTTAAAATCATTCTTAATCAGCATATTGTAAATCTCAACTGCTTGATTACAACGCAAAGATAGACAGAAAGGGAATAGCAGCCTGCTTGATCATGCTCATCATCATGGTTGAAAGTACATTTTCTTCTCTTCAATTAAAATAATAGGCTGATTGAATCTTGTGATTGGTCTCATAACCAAGCTTCTCTACAAACTCTGATTAAACTTTAAAGACTGAATATATACTATTTTCTTCTACTCAATCCTTTATATCTTTTTAAAAGAGTATTTATCCTAACCTTTTTACTAATGAAACTATATTCTTTTCTAATTTTAGTAACATAACCATGTAGCATGTGAAACAAGACTAACAATGATACAGCAGTATGACGTAAAACCTAATGCTAATGTCAATATATGTAGTACCTTGTTGGCAAGCATGTAAAGACCAACATCTGCATTGTATAAAGTAGAGAGTCGCTCCATCTTAGGAACAGGTCGGGATTTCAACACATCCTGGGGTATATTAGGTTCAAAAACATGGGCATTTGGGAAATCAGAGTAATAAGAATTCAGAAACCCCTGATCTCCTCCAGTATAAGAAGGCAAAGTATTAACTTTGCTCATCATATCATTGAAAACAGCTTCAGATGGCTCCACTACCATGACTCCTGAATTCAGCCTCTCAGAATGCTTTAAATTGGCACAGAATTTCTCACATTTAAAGAGATCTTCAATGCTTTTGACTACTATTGTATCAGCATCCAGGTACACAACTACACAAGCAAATTTTCAATCATGAAACAATGCAACTCAGCAGAACAAACATTGAGATTATAATAATAAATTAGGATGAATATTGGACTAAAAACACTAGAAGAACTAGAGGTAGGAGAAGTGTTATCAAAACATAAGTAAATAATATTCAAAATCTTATATGTTCTAGCCCATCTATAAAGATGCAAGAAAAATCAATTACTTTTATTAAATTGAGCTTCGATTCTTGGGAAACCTATAAAAAACATATTTACCAGTTCTAGCTTTTACTCTAGAACATTTTAATATAGGAAATGAGCTATCTAGTATACAATATATAGGTTTGTAACTTACGGACTTCCAACTCATTAAGGACCAAACTTTAAATGCCCATACATTTAAGAGTTTTCCATTAAAAACATATTGGTATTTAGTTTCAAGGCTTTTCATACTTTTAAATTTGCTCTCACATGCTTCTCAAAAAAAAAAAGAAATTTGCTCGTACGAAGAACTTATGCACTGACGATACATCAAATACAAGCTACAACCTTTCCTATATTCATCCTTAACCTTACCTATACATTTTCTTTAAACAACAAAAATGAAACCAAAGGAAACCAGGAAAAAAGATTTTACCTTTCTTGTAGTTAGTCATATTAAAAATTTTCAATTTCGTGTAGACACCCCAAAACCTCTTGGGCCGAACTTGGTTCGGATTTGCCAACAAACTTATCTTCTCCACTATCCACCCATCCGCCTGCCCAATCCTCCAACAAAAATGAAAAGTTAAAAAAATGCCAAAGTTAAAACTTCAATTTCTTATAAAAAAATTTCCTAAATTTTATGTGCAAACTAACAGGGCATTAACTATAAAGCTCATAACTTTCCACATATAAAAATGAATAATCACAAAGAGATTTTCAGTTATTCTTTCAGAAAAACACAAAGTAACTAACTTCGAGGTTCGTAAGTTTCTCAGGAAGCAAACAGAAAAGTAAATAGATCGCCAAATTTTACCTTGAGAAGCTTTTTCGCATAATCAGAGACACCATCGGAGACCAGAACCACCATGTCTTTAGTTGATCCAGTGTCCCGTATCGATTTCCCCAAAACCCTAACTCCCAAAAGAAACTCATCTCCATAAAGCAGCGTCACGTAAGCTTCTGTCGATGAAGATTGAGCTTTAGCCCCCAACACTGCCTTGCATTGGATCGTAACCAAAACAACCAAAATCAGGATCCAGGGTTTTGGGAATTTCATTTTATTCGATTTTCTCAAGAAAAAGTTTTAATTTTTTTGTACTTTCCGATAGAATTAATGAGAATTTAAAGGTTGAACCTGGGTCTTTGGCAGAGGGAGAAGAAGAAGAAGGTTCTTCGTTTTGTTCATGTTTGCGGTGTCGTTTTTGACTTTGACCATTTTTTTTTTGGTTTCTGCCAACTTGGGTTTGAAAGTGGAGGAATATTCTACCCTTTGAAGAAAACCATTCAATTTTTTATTTTATTTACTTTTATTTCATTTCTTTTCTTCTATTTCTTTTTAATTTTTATACCGCCTATCTATCGAATAAAATTTTTAATTATTTTATCAAAAGTTTAAATTAAAAAGTCATAGGTAAGATAGTTTTATAAAAAATTTTAAATAAAATTTTATTTTTTATTGTCTTGTTCAAGATTATATACTTTATTTTAAATCAAAGAGATCATTTTGATTACTGATGTTTAAATTTTAAGTGATATTTTAATTAATGATATTTCATTAACTGTTAAACATTAAATTCTTATTTGATTAAAAAAATTTAATTGAATATAATAAAAAAATTATTTAAAATTTAAAAAATAAGTCAAGAATTTTTTAAAATATTATGTCAAAAAATTAAGTGGTTAACTTGTTATCAAAGCTAAAAAAAATTCTCATAAAATCCATTTATGGAATTGAATAAATTATTATGAGTTATCTTTTTTATATTTCTAAAACCATTTTCTATTTTCCATAAAGGATAGAGAAAATAAAATTCTTTTAAAAAAATGGTTTATTGAAAGGGAGAATGTTAATATGCTTTAAAACATCTTTACTTCCTCAATCCCAAATTGATTGGCTTCTACACAAAGTCACAAAAAAGATTAAAATTGTCATAATTGATTATATGACTTGCCTTGAAGCTTCAAAGGAAGTTTCCTCCAAACTGTTTCCATTGGCTTAATCAATACTTTTAGTTTTAGAGGTGGTTCCCATAATAGCTTTCCTATACATCAAGTTTGGGTGGGCAATGGGGGTAATTTTACTCAAGATTCTTGTTAGTAAACCTCAAGATTGATGATAACATTGCAAATGGCTGATGCATGTTTTGGCTTTACCTTTGCAAGTCCCTATTTCTGATTCCCCAGTGAAGAAAACTGATAATATATATCAGCTCTACAATGAGCATTGGATAACATAAGTAGATAACATGGAAATTTCTGAAGTGTGAGATTGAACTGATTACATGGGAGCTTCTGAGTAGCTTCTTTCCCAATCTTGTGTGAGAAAAGGCTCAATTGTTGCAGATTCAATCTGTGAGGCCTGTTGTCAACCATCATATGCTTAAAACCCAACTTAAAGGAAATATTTTAATCAGGTTTATTGGTTCTGGTACTGGACATTGCCATCTATTCACGTCCTATCCATTGGTTCTTGCACAGATTTCAGATGGTTAATGCAGCTTTTGCTTTTATAACTCGAAAAAAAAAAAAAAGACAGGTCTGCAAAGTTTGATCCAATGTGAACAAGGTTTGGATCCCTGGCTTAGGCCAAAATTTTACATTTATTAAAGGAAAGAAAGAAAATCCCAAAATTAAGGTTCTAGACAGAAAATGATAGTTAGAAGCATTGGATATCATTAACTTGTATGAAAACAGAAGAAACATCTATGAAACAATCAGAAAAACAAAGTTTAACCTATTCAATAAGATTTTATGCTGTAAAGCAACATTGCGCTTCAATAATTTCTTGCACCATAAAAGGAAGTTTGGTCCAGGGATGTTCATCAACAGTTTCATTGTACTACTAGAGTTTTACAGTTGTTTATGCAAAGCTGTGGCAATAAGGGGCATGATTTTAATGAGTTGGGTATAAAAATTGCATATCGTTAATGCACCTTTTGCTTTAACTAGAAAATCCCAAATCTGACTCCAAGCAGAAACTGAAAATGAAGTTTATGATGAAAAGGAAGCAATAATCTGTCAGATAATCATTGGTCACTCTTTAACCACAAATCTCCAAAGAGGAAAAGTCAGAAACAAGAAGCAACAGTCTATCAGATAATCACCCTTTAACCCCAGATCTCCGAAGTCGAAAAGTGGGTTAAAATCTATATTGACTTGATTACATGGTATTTTTTTTAGTAAATTCTTCCCAATTGTATGCAGCATATGGATATCACAGATTCAATCTGCTCATCCTGTGAGACCTGTCGCCAACCAAAATAGAGCATGATATGCCAGGGGACCTTAGCTTGAACTTCATATGCTAATTAGTCCCTGCCCTTAAATGTGCCAAGCTGAGCCTTCTTAAATCTCTAATGCTTTGGCTGCCAGTTTGCTCGGATCCACTACATTGTTTGCTTGTACTAACCAAACCGGCAAACTTTAAATTTCATCTAGCCATTGATCTTGCTTTTCTCTGGACAACAAATAGACTGCAAAACAAGAATGGTGGAACATACAGGGAAAAAGATAGTATCCATGACAATTACTTTATCACAAAACCCAGCAGCTTGTGTATAAAGTACTGGCCTCAAAATTAGAGTAGCTAGAGAGGGAAAAAAGAAAAGTCAGAAGATCCAAGTAAACCATATCTAATGGAATTAATATTTGCAAAATCCCATAACATCAGTCACCCTTCATCTCATACATTAATGGGTTAAACAATAAAATTAGTAGAGCTTTTAAATCACACAATAAATATAAATTTATTAACTTTCTCAAATCAAGAATTTGCAAGGAAGAAAGGAAGAGATATATCTAATCAATAGAAGAACGTTAAAACTAATTCTTCATTCTATTGAAGGAAAAAAAAAAACTTTACAACTGTTTAGTATTTATATAAATTGTTAACTGCTGCACTAACTATACTTAAGTAACTAACCATTGTTTAGATAACTGAAATATAAATTATTGAACATGTGCTCCTCCAGCATGCTTCTCACGTGTATGCTTTTTCATTCTTCTTTCTTAGCAAACACAATTGGGAATATACATAAACCAAGAAATGAAAATAGAAACTAACAATACCAGCAGACACACAAAGTCTTACAGATTTTGGACAATTACACACAGAATTTCCTCTTTACATATTTCAAGTACAAAATGCATCGAATTCTACATTTTTTGTTCTTCTTGCCATCTAGAACAGTTCATTTCTTTCGTCGCCTCTGTGTTGACATCCCTGCAAAAGATTTGGGCTAACTATCATGGAATGGGGTTATGAAAGACTAGTAAACTTTAATTCATGGAGGACATCATAAAGCAAGACCTTTAAATATACCTGTTTTCTTACTTCTTTCAATAACTAGTCTTCTCACTACTTCCTGCAAAAATTGGCAGGTCCCCAGCATATCAATACAAATAAACATAAAATTTCTGGTGCTTTGAAGTAAGTGTTAAGTGAGGCCATATGTTTGAGTGTGGAGAAATACAAAGTTCAAAGAGTAGATTTTGCTGAAATCTTTGTTCTGTATCACATCAAACTGAATTCTAGCTAGAAAAACTTTTACACTAGTGCAAAGCAAAATCTTTTCCTTTTTTTTTCCTCAAATTTGTTAATCTATATTATAAGAGAAGAAAATTAAGTGCCTTCCTCACCAGAGTTGCTATTTCCTTAGCCCAAGTTGCTTCGAGGCAACGGAGATATTCAGTTGCCTACTATCTCATAATTACTAGACGCAAGTTGGATGGTGGGTTTAAGGCTTGAACTACCTTCTCTTTCTTTATACCCCGAGAGCAGATGATTACTCACATTCCCTTGAGATGTATCTTGTTGTGAAGCTTGGCTCCCTTAGCCTCATCCCCATCTATTGTATTTCCTACCAGTTCAACACGAAGATATCCAGCAAGGAGGTCCAAGTGTTGTAGATCTCCGATACTGAATTCTTCAGCATCATTTACCATCTGCCCTCCACTATGATATTATGTAATGTCATGAGAGAAGTTAATTTACCGATCCCTTTTGGGTAGTAAGTCAGACCATGACAACCCACAATAAAGATACCTCAAGTTAATCAAATTCCCGATTCCAACTGGCAGTTTCTTAAGAAAAGAGCAGCCCGAATAATCAAAGATTGTAATTACGCAGTTCACACACTTGGATTGACTAAACAAGTTCTGTAAGGCTTCACTAGTTGTATGAAAATAATATCCACCAGAAACTGCCAAAAGGCTTCGCAATTTTTCACTGCCGTTAATGGACGTAGGAAAGCAGTCGACTTGGGATTACCAACCTCACATGACGGAGTTTTTTGAGATAAGTCCAGCCTCAAATCTTTGACATCCTCCTCTATGACAAATTCGTATTGCGTCAAAAATGGGACAAAGTCATGTACCATGTCATGCATCTTACAGTAACGAATGTTGCCATCGCAATCTCCTTTAAAATCTTTAAAAAAGAACGAGCTGCTAAGCACTTAAAGTAATCTTCACCTTGTAATTCTCTCCCAAAATTGTCATCAGACTTCAAATAACCTAGCGCCATCCAATGCTGGATCAAATCATCTTTAAAAAAGTCTTAGTTCTTTGGAAACATTGCACAGTACAACAAGCATGGTCTTACTCTTGAGGCAAATCATAATAACTCAACAACAAAGTTGAAAAGATATCTCCCTCAAAATCCATTTCCATATCTCACTATTCAAAACATTTTGCCACTCTTCTCTTCCTACTTTATCTCGTAGGAGACATCCCAAGGTTTTGCAGCAAGAGGCTAACCTTTGAACTTGTTGCCATTTCCTTCCAAGTCCTCTACATTTTACACCTATCCCCATCTCCGAGAAAATGCTTTTTTAGCAAGTATCCACCAGCACCCCTCCTCAGATAATTGTTCTAGATGAAAGACATGAACAAGTCCATTTGCCTTGCAACTGATTCATTTTGAGTGGTTACTAAAATCCAACTTCCCGATAGCCATGCTGAAAGGTAATCTCAGCGGTTCCCAATCTTGATCACGGTACGTCCACACATCATCCAAAACAAAAGAATTTTCTTCCTTTGATCTTTGCACGAATTTCATTTAAAAGAATTTCTAGTGAAATTTGATTTTGAAAGTTCACTGAACAAGGGTCAAGGCCTCCAAGAATTGATCTAGCAATTTGTCTTTGATCAAAGGGGTATGAGACACACACCCAAATTTTGTTTTCAAAATGAGTTTGGATTCTATGATCACTATAAATCAATTGGGCAAAAGCTGTTTTACCCTTTCCTCCCCCCCTACTACAGTGATGGTAGGAACATTATTCCAACTCCCTTCTTCACTAGTTCCAGACAGCAAATGTCTTCTTTGACCCTGTCTCGACCAAGTATCTGTGACGCATCCACAAAAGAAGTGCTTTCTGACTGCTTAGGTTGCTGAGTTCCACTTTTTATTCAGTCCTAATTACTCCGTCTTTAGCAATCTCGTCTAACTCTTCACTGATTTCTTTTATTCTGGAGCGATGTCATGACGCTGGCAACTTGTAAGCCAAAGGAAAAGCGGAACCGAAGGGACATACCTTCCTCTTTTGGAACAGAAGAGGTTTCAACTCCATCTGTTTACAACTTGTCGAGGTGCGGCCTTCCAGTCGTCTATACGTCTTCCAGGTCATGAGAAACTTGTTTGAACCATCTAACCAATGTTGGACACGTTTGTTCATGAACTGTTTTTCCTCCGCATCTTCAAGCTCGCACTGGATTGCCTTGAGATTGCTTTTAAGTCTTTCGACTTCTTCATCGACACCCGTCACCAGTCCCGTGCATTTTGAATCGGTACTGCTGCCAGCTCCGATAAGATCGCGGAAACAATAGCTTCGGCCATAGGATACTTGAAAGTAGAGAGACCAGAAGCGATGAAGTCAACTCTAAAATAGTGGAATGGAAGGGAGAGGAAAAGTAGTGGAGAGAAGAGATCCACTGCCTTCTTACCCAATTATTATGAAAAAATATAAAATCTTTTGTTTTTTCTTTTTCTAATGAACACAATGAAAATAGTATAGCAGAGCCATCAACAATACCAAAGATGGAAGATTTTCAAGTAATGGAACAAGACAACTTTTATGAGGAAGGGTGAGAGCAATTGGGATTGTTTTTTCCACAATGTTTTGCTTTTAAAAAGAGAATAATTTGATGTTGTAAAATCATGACGTTAGATTGAAAATAATAGAGATAGATATCCACCGACGGAGGGGATCTTGTCAAGGTCTGAACACTGATTAAAATTGGTTTTGCGATTTGAAAGATTGGAAAGGCCAACAGTGACTGCGCTAGGAAGTGGGGGAAGAAGAAAGTTTCTATGTTTTTCCACCAACTTTATCGGCAGTTTCCATGACAAGTTGTAAATATTATATACTACCATAGTGCACGTAAATGAGTAGTGATTTGTGAATGCTAACCAGCTACCTAGCACACCTCGCTCATCCGTGGTGGCTCAACATTGTGGTTGGGTGAAGAAAATGTCAGGGAAATCTTCTTTATGCCCTTTCCTGAGAGACATCCTACTTAACCAATGACTTTACGGTGCCACATGATCTAAAAAAATACATAAGGAACAAACTGAAAAGGGAAAAAAAACAAGCCTTAAACTTTGAAATGAGGCTAGACTTTGAAGGTTCCCTGAACCAGGGTCATGGCCTCCAGTAATTGCTCTAGTATTTTGAATTTGATCAAATAGGTGTCAGACACGCACCCAGACTGTGTGGTTGAAAGGAGTCTTGAGTTCCAGGATCATTATATTATAAATCAACTGAGCAACAGATGTTTTTCCTATTCCTCCCATTCCTACTATGGTGATGGTAGGAATATCACTGCAACTCTTTTTTTCACTAGTCACAGACAGCAATGTACTTATTATTTTTTTCTTTGACCCCATCTCGACCAATGAACTGTGACACATTCACCAACGAAGTGCTTTCTGACCGATTACGTTGGTTACTTAATTTTACTTTTTACCAAATCAAACGTAAGTCTGCCTCTAGCAATCTTGTCTAGCCTGTCATCGATTTCTCTTATTCTGGTAACAATTTCTTTGCCACTAGCAAACACAAAGAACCAAGGGAAGAGACGTACCATGCACTTTGAAAAATCTGGTTCAAAATGGTGGAGTGCAGTTTTCCAGTCGTCTAATACGTCTTCCATGTCATAAGAAACTTCTTTGAACCTATCTAACCAATGTTTGACAGATAGGTCCATGAATTGTTTTTCCTCTGCATAATCAAGCTTTCACTGGATTGCCTTCAGATTACTATCAAGCCTTTCGACTTCTTTCCCAACACCCATAACCGTTGCCCACTCGTTCCGTGCAACTTCAACTATTCCCGAGTTCATCAGCAGCTTCAAGATCACGGAAACAAAAGCTTCGGCCATAGGTAATTTGAAAGTAGAGAAAAAAGATTTGATGAAGTCAACTCTGAAAAGCTACAGGGTAATTTGAACAAGAGAGCAACAAGTCTTATATGAACAACTCTGAAAAGAAATGATCCATTTCTTTCACTACTTAAGTGGAGTTAATTAGTAACCCTTGGGATTCTTTCTAGGAGCAAGATATCATCATTCTCTTCTTGGAACTCTGGAATATAAGACACCAGCTGCAATTAATTCAGCAGCTCTTCATTTTAATGTTGAAGCTGCACATTGCTTGGGGTCCCCAATTTTGCCTTTGAAGCTGGAAGGTCTTTCTTGAGAAACGTCTTAATCAATAAATGATCATTTTAGTACCTAAAAACCGCAAAGAGAAATAAACAAGCCTCAAACAGAGAATTAACTCATTCATTCTGTTTTCTCCAAATCACCCTGAATTTTTTTTTTCAACATTTTTGTTGGATTTATGAAGGGAAAGCTGAAAATGATGACAACCATGCATCAATAATGCCATGACATCTAGAATTCTATACAATCTCAGCCTTAAACTTCTAGTAACTTCTTCCCAATCTTGCATGCAGCATAAGCATCAGTTGTTACACATCCAATCTGGTCTTTTTCTGAGATCTTTTGCCATCCTATCAACTGGAACCACGCTAGAAGACCTGGTCTTAAACTGCACCAAGAGATTGCTGTCCCATCTAATACAAGGATTTACCAGGACATGAAAACTAAAAAATTACAACAATTAATTGTACGTTAGACTGCTAAAGAAATTAAAAATCTCACAAAATTATTACAGATGAGATTAACTTTTATTAATCAATCTACGTTATTATTATCACATTCTATTTAAATTTAATTGGCCTTAACAAATGTTTAAAGGAACCTTAACCGAATTTTATATATAAACCTCCATTTTTAATTGAATGAGCTAAAACAAGAAGACTTAAATAATTATATTTATGCATCCGATCATTCGACATAATGATTAGTATATACTTCCTCTTACTTGAAAAATTAAGTTAAGAGTATATTTTTTCTTTGATGTCAAAAACATTAATTATATATAAATCGAAATTGGTTATGTTTCTAGACTGTTGATTATGGCACGTTTGATTATTTAGAGAGCAAAGTGATTCAATTTACTTGAGAATTGGGATTATTATTATCTTATTATTAGCTAGAAAATGGAGGTGGACAGAGTACTGCCTAATCCCAAAAAAGGAAACTTTTATTTCTGTTTCATATGAGTAATTATATACAATCTTAGAACTCGTCGTTTTAAACCTTGGATTTGAATTGAAGTTTCAGGAACTGAGAAATTCTTTGCATTAATGTAAACAGTTGCTTTAGCAGTTACTTTAACTTGAAATTTCCAATTCTAAATACCTGACAAGAAATTGAAATGAGCATATTACATAACTTCGTATGTAAACAGATGAAGCATCTATCAGGTTTGGACAAATTATCCACCAGCCAAGAATTCATGCTTAAGAGACTAATGAGTAATGACATATGTGTGATCTAACCAGATCGCAGACTCAATCTCCCAATAGCTTCTTCCCAATCTTGTATGCAGCATGGGCATCAGCTGATGCACATTCAATCAGCTTTTGGGGGACATCTCCTGTCGTGGAATTATCAACCCGTAGTATGCTGGTGGGCCTTGCCTTAAATGGCACCAAAAGAAGTTGATGTGCCAAGCTTCTCACACCAAATGCACGAAGGCGAGGATGATGCAGTACCTCAGCTGCTAATTCACTTAGATCAACTACATTTCTAATTTCAAGCCTGTATTTCTCCCACAGCTTTTTAACATCTCCCTGTAAATGTACTCCAGCAAAAATTATATCCTTGTGAGTGAGGAACTGCCCGAGTTTTGAAATAAAGTAGGGGCGGTCAGTGCCTAGCTTTATCGGAAGACAGCCAAACTGATAGCACAATGTGAGTAAACTATCATTGCTACGTTGAGAAAGCCATTCTATGTCAAACCCAACAGCCATGTCCCCATATTCACACATTTTCTGCAGTAAGATGTCAAGGCAATGGCCTCTTCTGTCTCTTTCAGTGATCAATTCAGTCACTGCAAAGGTACCATCCAACATCAAAACCTCTGATCCCCCTTAACATTCTTATAGTAAAATGCGAACTGATAGAGGAAGAGAATTTTGGATTTGCACTGAGGCAGGACTATTTAATTTTCCTGAGAAACTGAAGAAATGATCCATTTCCTTCACTACTTATATGGAGTTAGTAACCCTTGGTATTCTTTCTAGGAACAAAATATCAGCATCCTCTTCTTGGAACTCTGGAATTTAAAACACCTGCTGCAATTAAGCAGCTCTCCATTTTAATGTTGGAGGTGTACATTGCTAAGGGACCCCAATTTTATCTCTGGAACTGGAAGCTCTTTCTTGAGAAACGTCCTAATTAATGAATGATTTTTTGGTGCTGCATGATCTAAAAAACACAATAAAGACAAACAGAAATGGGGAAAAACACAAGCCTTAAACAGGGAAGCCTGGTCAAATTAGATTTGTAACACTATCAACCAAAACCCAACAGAATTAATGAATTCATTCAATTTTCTCTAAATCACCTTGAGTTTTTTTTTTTTTCAACATTTTTTTTGGCTTTTTAAATGAACTCCTAGTAACTTCTTCCCAATCTTGTAGGCAGTATAAGCATCAGTTGTAGTTTTGCTCAAAGAACAAGTGACTCGAAAATTATAATCAAAATGTAGTTTAAGGAAAATGAAAATGCAAATTAAATATGCTTATAAAAAGAAATTTTGCCCTTGACAAAATGACAAAAATTCTTTACTTCTGACAAAATTAATAACAAGATTTTCTGCATTTGTTTCATGAATGCAACATTGTGCTAAAATAAGATTGAGTTATGACAGTAGGGGGCATGATTTTATTGAGTTGGGTATGTATTCTCAACATGAAAAGGCCAATAACTCCTCAGTAACTCAAAATTCATGTTAGTAACTCCTCAGTAATCATTGTGTAAGAGATTTTGGGATCATCTTCCAATATACAAATTGCAAATGTTAATGCACCTTTTGCATTAACTAGAAATCTCAAATCTGATTCCAAACAGAAACAGGAAATGAAGTTTATGATGAAAAAGAAGGACCAAAATTCTTTCAGATAATCACCCTTTAACCCCAAATTTTCACAATAGAAAAGGTTATTTAAAATCTATGTTCTCTTAATTTCATGGTCGTTTTTTCTAACTTCTTCACAATCTTGTGTGCAGCATAAGCATCACAGGATCAATATGTCTGCTCCTCCAGTGAGACCCTGTTGCCAACAAAATTAGACCATGACATGCCAGGGGACCTCAGCTTAAATGGCCCCTCAGACCTTCATATGCCAAGCCTCTGCCCTTACATGCGCCAAGGTGAGCTTGATGTCACCCTAAGCCTTGCATGCTCTTTATTTATTTTCCTACTAAATAGAGTAAAGAAAAGAAAAGAAGGAGCGAGAGGTAGAAGGATGCGGTTTTCACAAATAAAGCAAGGAAGAGATCAAGTAAATCAAGAAAACAAGGGCTACCCACCTATTCCTTTTGCAGAGAAAGCAGGAAAGCATCAACTCCACTGCCTAATAGCCTTCTCCCAACTTTGTACGCAGCATAAGCATCAGTAGCTGCAGACTCAACCAGGTCAAGACTAGGAAAACTGTCAGACCTAATCGTCCATATCAGTAAAGACCTTGATATAGAGGCCTTTCAACTGCTCAGGATTCATACATTAGGCCTTTCAACTTTATACTTTTTAAAGCTCTCACCCTTAGCCCTCAAGCCTTTGGTTTTGGCAACCAAAGCATTTTCTACAAGACTATCACTTCTAAAAGCTCTTCTCTGCTCTTGAGCTATAAAGCACTAATTAGCTCATTTGCAGAGATCTTGGTCAGATCTTTTCAATCTTCCAAAGAGGAGATTTTAGCCTTAAACTTCTCTGTCACCTCTTCCAACATTCTAAGCTAAGTTACAAGCCTCAACAACTTATCAATATAATCATGTATGTTTTCTTCTTCTCTCATTCTTAACAATTCAAATTGTCTAGAGAGATTTAGTACCTGCATTACTTTAGTGCGATCACTTCCTTGATACTCTTCCTTTAGGCTATCCCAAACCTGTTTTAGATCTTCAAAGTTCATGATCTTGGCAAATATAGCCTTAGATACTGCTAACTACAACCATATAAGTGCTATGTAATACTTTCCTACTTCTTCAGAATGTTATTTGATTTGAGCCAACGTGGGGTTGGCATGGCTCTACACTAGAACCTCTTTAGTCTCATCCATGTCCCAATGGTCAAATGACTTCAAGTATGATTTCATCTTTACAACCCAAAATTGATAGTTAATTCCATTAAAATCAGGTGTTGAAGTACTGAAGCCTACAGTTACCATGATTAAACTGTAAAGAATTCACAGGTCCTTCACGACTAACTGCTCTGATATCATATTGGTTTTCTCAAAAAATAAAGAAAATAACAAAGTTATTTAAAATTTGGAGAAAACAGTAAATGAAAAAGTCTGCTCATTCTTATTTCATTTCAGTTATTTATACAACAATTTGAAAATTCAAATAACAAGTCTAAATCTGACCTCGTAAACCAAAAACTAATAAAGAAATTGGATCACATGAACTCAATCACTGCATTGACTTCTATGCAAGCTTAACAACTGATAACAAAATTTGCTAAGCTTGAAGAAAACAAAACGACATCCTTACAATGCATATTGCCACAACACTATTAAAAGACTTGACTAAATGACACTAGTCTAAGCGTTTAAGTAATAATAATAAATTTACTAAACAAAAACGAACGAAATAAAATGTTTTATAGCCCTAGAATTTGAGAAAAGAAGAATGACTGTGTTTTGCTTCATCTAACTACCTTCTTTAGCCAAGCTCAACTGCTTCCACCTTTGACCTCACACCATATTACTGATTATTTCAACAAAGGCGCTAAACGTAAAAGAAAATTGGAAGAAGAAAGAATTTAAACAAACTTAAATGGTAAATTTGTCCGTTTTTATTTTGCACTCATAATGCAAGCAAAACTCAAGTAACTCTTTAGCCATTATAATGACAAAACTTATCATCCTACAAGTTTGTTAACTTAAATTTAATTTCCTCCAATAAATCAAAAATATATAATTTGAAAAAAATTTATAATATTTTCTATATTTTTATTTATTGCTATCAACTATATAAACCAATTTAATAATTTTATCAAGTATTCCATTTCTTTTGAATATATAGTATAAATTTATAGCATATTTCACAACTCATAAGTTGCCCATGTCATAAATGAAAATGTCATGTAAAAACATATAAATGAAATTTTCATGTAAAAGTAGAAAATACAATTATTGCTTACAAATTTTCTTATTTGACCAAATAAAAAAAGTAAAGAAAAATATTTGCTCAAGCCCAACTACTTGGCCTAAAATTTTCCCAAATAGGCCTAGTACAATGGCTGGTACAAGGCGAGGTTGGCCAGACAACCCAATCCCTTCCTCAAGGTCAGCTTCAGTACTTCCCATTCCCTCAACGGCCATATCCACTAAGCTTTTGCTTAGTCCAAAACTCATTCAGGCCAAGCCTACTTAATAAACTATAGCCTTCACAGCATCTTCCCCCTAATGATGAAATGATTGACGAAAGTGGTGGCTTAGGCATAAAGCCATGTGGGGGGCAACTAATCTTTGAACCCCAAATTGGTTTATAAAAATGTAAACAAATATTCGTCAAAAAGATGTACAAAAAAAATCAAAGCACTTTCCATGCATGCCAATGTGAGAATGTCCCTAACAAATAATGGGGATTTTGAGTACATTTTTTTTTCTAAGGAAACTGCCCTTTGCATTATTAGCTTTTCATATATTAAAGAAAAGAAAAAAAAAAGAGCGAAAGGTAGAAGGATGCGGTTGTCCACAAATAAAGACAACAAGTAAAGCATGAGATCAAGTAAATCAAGGAAACAAGGGCCACCACATCTACTCCTTTTTGCAGGAAAGCATCAACTCTCAGTGCCTAACAGCCTTCTCCCAACTTTGTATGTAGCATAAGCATCAGTAGCTGCAGATTCAACCTGCTCAAGACTCGGAAAACTATCAGACCTAATCGCCCATATTGACAGTAAAGACCTTGATGGCGGAATGTCAATGGACAGAACCTTACTAGCCAATTCCCTTACACCGTAGGCACTAAGCTGAGGCTGACCAAGAACTTTAGCAGACAATTCGCTGAGATCCACCGCGTTTCGAATTATTATCCCATATTCCTCTCTCAGGTTTTGTAAGTCTTCTTTCATTCGAATCCCAGCAAACATGATATCTTTAACAGCAAAAAATCGTTTTAGAGAGTCAGAAGCAGAGTTTTCAAGCCTAATGAGCACGCAACCGAATCCTGAGCACAGCTTCAGTAGGCCAACGCGGGGTCTGTATTCAGTTCTGAAAACTCCAAGTTTGATCTCTTTCATGCACCACTCTGTGTCAAGCCCGATAACCATATCTCCATTTTCAACCGCATATTCCAATAGTAGATAAATATAAGGGAGTGAATCCTCACAAGGTACCAGCTCAGTCACCACTGGGGTGCCATCGCTCATTGGGAAAACCAGTGACATTTTTGGTGGGCACGGGCACGACATAGTTGAGGAAGAGATATCACCAAGGAAGAGGATAAAGAAATGATCGGGAGGGATTAGCTAAAAGCAATAGTCAATAAATTAAAAAGCTTTCCAAATTGATCCTAGCTAAATGGTTGTTGTGCAACAACGAATGTGCACAACTGCACTAGGCTGTGAGGGGTGGGAACAAATAACCCCATCCTGCTAAGTGTTCAAGTCTTAATCTGACGTACGAATATACGAGATTTGGCTGCAATCCCACGCAAGGCTTGCCTTTCTGATAGTGAAGTTAGGGGCCCGTCCTGCTGCAATCCCACGCGAGGCTTTACTTTCTGATAGTGAATTTTGGGGAAGGAGGTTCAAATTATAAATTTTATCTATTTTTATTTTTATATAATTTATTATTAATTATAAATTTTATATCATATAAAATTATTTTTTATATTTTTAAAAATTTATTTTAAATAAATAAAAAATAAAGTTAATTTTTTTCATTGTAAATAAAAAAATTTACTATTAACACAAAGTTATTTATTAAATACTCATGATAATTTTAACTAAAATTCAAATATATAAAAATTGTTTTATTAGATAACTTATTTGTACAAAAAAACTTATAAAAATAAATTTATTAAATAAATTTAACTTAATTTTAAAACTTATTATTTTTTATAAAAATTTCATAATAACTTTTAAATTTTAAAAAACCAAACTGAACAGGCTCTTATTACTATATATCAAAAGTTTAAAAGCTTGATGATACAGCATATAGTGGGTTTCGTTCTCCATTTGCAAGGCTTTAGCTCTGTTGTGTTTTTGTTGTTGATTTTCTAATTCAGCTCTGTTGTGCTTTTGATTTGGTTAGGTTTAAGTTTTGTTTTTAATGTAGTGCTTGCTATATAGCTATTGGAAAAGGGTTGGATTTTTTTTGTTCTTGTTTCTACCATGTTAGTTCTTTGCATTTTTTTCAGTTTTTCAAAAGAAAAAAAATTTTAAATTTTTTTATTTTTTATCAAATATTAAATTTTATTAAATATGAAAATAATACAGAGTATTGTATTCACAAATCTCATTTTAAAATTTTATTAAATTTTAAGTTTTTTTTCAAATATTAAATTTTATTAAATATTAAATTAAATTTTATTAAGTTTTGAAAAGAAATATGAATAGATCTTTTTAAAAAAGTATTTATGTCATAAAATATTTATGTAGTATTAGGTATAATATAATATTTTGAAACAAGAGGGATTAAAGTATTTTTTAAAGTGTTTTTAATAGTTTTTTTTTGATTTTACTCAAAATTTGACAGACTCAATCTATTTACTTATTATTAATTAAAATACTTAAAATATATATTAATAATTTTAAATATATTTTATAATATAATAATATCACAAATCTAATTGAAAAAATGTTATCTAACACTCGATTTGAGAACTACCCATCATTTACAAGTAATTGATCAAATTCAAATTTATGGACATTAGACAGATTTCTTATTCTAAATTCAAATTTTTTATCTTAAAATTGTTCAATTGCAGTTTACAAGAAAATAATGTTAAAGTTTAACCTTAATCAAATCATGCTCATACACATAAAACAAAATCTTTAGATTAAATTTGTGTGATATCAAATCAAAATAATATATATAAATTAAAACATAAATAAATATTAAATATATTACAATATTCTTCTTGAACAAGAATAATATAACTCATATTTTGTGATAATAATCCAATTTTAATTTATTATCATCTTAATTTTTGGATAGTCAGAAACAGCTATGTAACTAATACGTGGGTCTATATCAAATTGTCAACATTAAAGCAATATTTTTGTAAACTATTATCATCTAATAACTTCAATTTTTTATTGTTAAATAGAAAACCAAACATACTTTCATATATCTTAAATTGATCTAATATATATAAAAAGTAATTAATTTTAAATTATTTTTAAGAGATTTTATTATTTCGTTATCAACATTCTCATCAAATTATATTTCTTTCTACGAATGATACATGTATCACCAAATTTAGATTTTATATTTATTTTTTTAAAAAGAAACCATTATTTATGTCAATCCATCTTCTCTATATTTTTCAAACAAAAGAAAGAAAAGTTTTTAATTGCTGAGAATGAGTAGATTGTAGAAATTAAGAAGTGCTAAAAAATTGATATTTATTAAGAAGTGGGAGAATGTCATTTTATTAATTATTTTTGACTTTTACATATTTTTAAGAATTAATAAAGATAAAAAGTAAGAGAAAATAGATGTTTATTAAATAATATTGAATAAGTAAATATTTTATTAATTATTTTAATTTTTATATATTTTTAATATAATTATTATAAAATTAAGTGACTTGCCCAATTTAGAATCTAAAGTCTTGACGTTTTTCCCAGCCCAATTCTGCAATCCTCGTAAACATTTTTTCAAATTTTGCGGCAAAACTCAATTACGTACTTCTATAGCCATTATAACAAAACTTATCACATTATTTTCAACTCTTACAAGTTATTTTAACTCTAATTTAATTTCCTCCAATAATTCAAAAATATATATAATTTCAAAAAAAATTATAATATTATATATACATTTATATATTCTTATCAATGATATTAATGATACAAACCAATTTAATAATTTTACCAAGTAATGTGTTTCACACCTTTTAAATATATAGCATAAGTTCATGGCATATTTCACAACTCACTAGTTGTGCATGTCATGTAAGAAATGAAAATGTCATGTAAAAGCATATAAATGAAATTTTCATGTAAAAGTGGAAAATACAATTATTGCCTACTAATTTTCTTACTTGACCAAATAAAAAAATAAAAAAAATATTTACTCTCGAACCCCAATGAATTGGCCTAATATTTTTCTAAACAGGCCTACAACAAAGGCTGGTGAAAGGGGAGGTCGGCCCCTCCCACAAGGGCCACATCCACCAAGCTTAGCTTAGTCCAAAATTCATCCGGGCCAAGTCAGCCTTCACAGTTCCTTCCCTCTAATGGTGAAATGATTGAGGAAAGTGGTGGCTTTAGGCATAAAGCCATGTGGGGCACCTAATCTTTGAACCCCAAATTGGTTTATCAAAATGTAAACAAATATTCATCAAAAAGATATACAAAAAAAAAAAACATTGAAGCACTTTCCATGCATGCCAATGTGAGAATGTCCCTACCCAATAATGGGGATTTTGAGTACATTTTTTTTATTAAGGAAACTGCCCTTTGCACATGGCCTCCAGCCCTCTCCACCCTCACTTATGGCTTGCATTATTACCCTTTCATATATTAACTCAAATTATTAATAATTTTCCCTCTCATATTGGATTCTTATCTTCTTTGTTTAAAAAAAATTATAATAATTGCTAGAAGCCAGATGGGTGCATGTGCATATCAAAAAATGGGCTATAAATTTTTTTTTTGTTTGAGAAAGGAATGGTGTTTGGTGAACAAAGACAATGGTTTTTTAGGTCATCAATGGGAGAACATTTCACTATTGGGACCCACCACCTTCCTCTTTCTCTCTCTGTCTGTCATAGAAAGTTCCAAGTTGTCTATTGTTTTCTTCATTTTTTTTTTCTTTTTTAGAAAATTATCAACTCTATAACATGAAGAGATGCTTTTCTGCTAAATCAGCCATGTTTTGATGCAAGAATAAGAACACTAAATTTTCTTTTTAAATTTGATTTTGCACATACACAGGTGTCTGTTCATGCACAAGAAGATGACAGCAATGTCAATCAGACAATTCCTCATAACAGTTCACCTTATATGCCAAAAGAGACTCAATGTGCTTCATTTTTGTCAAGTTTTGGCAACATTTATCTCAAAAATAAATCAGTTATAAGGTTGATAGCTTTTCAGGAACCCATTGGCAAATGGGACACCTCAGTTAAAAAATATTCCCAAGCCTGTAAGGGAAAAAGAATTTGTTATGTCCTTTGGATAGATTATTATACTGTTATAATTATGGTATAATGATGATAATGATTGTTGGCTTTGCCTAAAGCATTTTTGTTATAGCATTGGCATGAGGTTAAGTAGTTAAAAGAGAAAAACTCAACCAGGTAAATATGCCATGCAGCAAACAGTATATAGTTAATTACAATAATCTCTTCAATATTCAATCAGTTCTAGGCTTTTAATTTCCCTGCCAGAAGATTAAGATGTCATAGAATTTGTCAGAAAAAGAAAAAGTAAGTTGGGTTGCTGGTTTAAATGACTATTTGTATGAATCTTTTTGTCTGGAGTAAGACAGTAAAGTGAGTAAGTTTATAAGGTATATGACAAGAAGAGTGAGCTGATCAAGCTTGTTCCCTGCATTTAAACACAAAAATTACTTGGTGTTGCAGTTTGAGGAGTTTTAGATTTCCATCTTGAAATAAGAAAGAATTTAAGAGGAAAGAAAGAAAGAATTACCAGTTTATCACCCACTTGGGTTGACTATGATAAATAATTTAAGAAGAAATCATAATCAACAATCACTGGAAACACATTCCCACCATGTTTTAGTGTCTTGGAGATTTGTAATAAGTCCAAAGCTTTACAGTCATTAAGTGCAGATAATTAGCTGGTGTCAATCCCAAGAACCCACGAACAGATATTAAATTAATCAAACCCTCACTAATTGGTTATTACTAGCTAACAAGCTTTAATTATTCTCTTTATGATCTCTTATATATTAACCTTCTTGGTCACCCTCTAGCTCCTTTGTTCCACCATGGCCAAAAATGTTTTACTTTTAGGAGGAGCAAACTCTCAGAAGAGAAGCAAAATGAAATCCCACTTGCTGTTCTTCTACTGTTACATTGGTCTCTCCCTTGTTTTTGCTAAGGGAGCTAAGATAATACCAGTTCCAAATGGTGAAGCATCTACCTTACTGTTGATGAAAGGTAGTTTTATTGATGCATCGGATATGCTCAAAGATTGGAAGCTGCCAAGCAATGTGGCTGAAACCAGATCAGCTCATTGTAACTGGACAGGAGTTTGGTGCAACTCCAGAGGCCTTGTAGAGAAACTTGATCTTTCCAATATGAATCTCAGTGGCATTGTATCTGACCATGTTCAAGGTTTGCGCAGCCTCTCTGTCCTCAACCTCTGCAATAACGGGTTCGATACATCATTGCCGAAATCGTTTGCCAATCTCACTTCATTGAAGGGCATTGATGTAAGCCAAAACAACTTCATCGGCGGCTTCCCAAAAGGTCTTGGAATGGCCTCGGGATTGACTTATGTCAATGCATCAAGCAACAATTTCTCAGGCTCTCTCCCAGAGGATCTTGGCAATGCAACTTCACTTGAAAGCTTAGATTTCAGAGGGAATTTCTTCGAGGGTACGATTCCTACCTCTTTCAAGAATCTGCAGAAACTGAAGTTTCTTGGCCTTTCAGGCAACAATCTGACAGGAAAACTTCCAGGAGAGCTCGGACAGCTTTCTTCTTTAGAAACCATCATTCTTGGTTACAATGAGTTCGAAGGAGAAATACCAGAGGAATTTGGCAATCTCACCAATCTTCAGTACCTTGATTTGGCAGTCGGCACTCTCAGTGCCCAGATTCCGCCTGCTTTGGGTAGGCTAAAACAACTAACTACAGTTTATTTGTATAAAAATAATTTCACAGGAAGGATTCCATCGGAGCTTGGCAACATTACTTCACTAGTGTTCTTGGATCTTTCTGACAACCAGATTTCAGGAGAGATACCAGCAGAGATAGCAGAGTTGAATAATTTGCAGCTGTTGAACTTGATGCGCAATCAGTTGAATGGTCCAGTTCCCGTTAAGCTTGGAGAATTGACCAAACTGGAGGTACTTGAGCTATGGAAAAATTCTTTGACAGGTTCTCTGCCAATGAATCTTGGAAGAAACTCACCCTTACAGTGGTTAGATGTATCATCAAATTCATTATCTGGTGAGATTCCACCAGGTTTATGTGATTCAGGGAATCTCACTAAGCTAATCCTCTTCAACAACTCCTTTTCTGGTCCAATCCCAGTAGGTCTCTCAACATGTAAGTCACTGGTTCGTGTTCGAGTGCAAAACAATCTGATTTCTGGGACTATTCCTATTGGTTTCGGAAGTCTCCCTATACTTCAACGTCTGGAACTGGCAAAAAACAATCTCACAGGCCAAATTCCAGACGATATAGCTTTGTCAACATCTCTTTCTTTCATTGATGTTTCTTGGAACCACCTTGAATCAACCCTCTCTTCCAGCATCATTTCCCTTCCTAATCTCCAAACATTCATTGTCTCCCACAACAACTTGGCAGGGAAATTTCCGGATCAGTTTCAAGACTATCCATCATTATCTGTACTTGATCTCTCAAGCAACCATTTCTCTGGAGAAATTCCAGAGAGTATAGCTTCTTGTGAAAAGCTGGTCAATCTAAACCTTAGAAACAACCAGTTCACTGAAAAAATCCCAAAAGCACTTGCAACAATGCCCACGTTAGCCATGCTTGACTTGTCAAATAATTCTCTAGTTGGCTTGATACCAGAGAATTTTGGAACCTCACCGGCCTTGGAAATGCTTAACTTGTCATACAATAAGCTTGAAGGTCCAGTCCCATCTAATGGTTTGTTGATGACCATAAATCCTAATGACCTGGCTGGCAATGCTGGTCTTTGTGGTGGCGTACTCCCTCCATGCTCTCAGAGTCCCATACAAACACCAGGGCGGCCAAGGAACATGCACATCAAACACATCGCTGCTGGATTTATCATCGGAGCTTTGGTAATATTATCTGTTGCCATAGCATTTTTTACTGGAAGATGGCTATATCAAAGATGGTACTTATATAACAGCTTCTTCGGTGACAAGTTCAAAAAGAGTAACAAAGAATGGCCTTGGAGACTGGTTGCATTTCAAAGGCTCAGTTTTACAAGTAGTGACATACTGCCCTGCATAAAGGAATCAAACATCATTGGCATGGGAGGAACTGGTATAGTTTACAAGGCTGAAGTCCATCGTCCACGAGCAGTTGTGGCAGTTAAGAAGCTGTGGAGATCAGAGACCGACATTGAGAGCAGTGATGATCTATTTGGAGAAGTGAGTCTCCTGGGAAGACTTAGGCACAGAAACATTGTAAGGTTAATGGGATATGTTCATAATGAAGCCGATGTGTTGATGGTATATGAGTACATGCCGAATGGGAATCTTGGGACAGCTCTGCACGGTAAACAAGCAGGGAAGCTGTTGGTTGACTGGGTTTCAAGATATAACATAGCAGTTGGTGTTGCGCAAGGGCTGAATTATCTCCACCATGACTGCCACCCCCCAATCATCCACCGGGATATTAAGTCCAACAACATTCTGCTTGATGCAAATCTTGAGGCAAGAATTGCAGATTTCGGGCTGGCAAGAATGATGATTCATAAGAATGAAACCGTTTCAATGGTAGCTGGATCATATGGATATATTGCTCCTGGTATGTTTCAAATCTATGAATTTTTTTATCAAAGCTTTTTCTTTCCATTTTTTGCCATGGCAAGAAACTATTTTCTAATGTTTTGTTCTACTGTTTCCTCTGACAGAATACGGGTACACTCTGAAGGTTGATGAGAAGACTGACATCTATAGCTTTGGTGTAGTTCTTTTAGAGCTTCTAACTGGGAAAATGCCATTAGATCCTTCATTTGGAGAATCCATCGATATAGTTGAGTGGACTCGAATGAAGGTTAAGAAAAGAAGGGGGTTAGAAGAAGTACTAGATCCGACCATAGCCGGTCAGTGCAAGCATGTCCAAGAAGAGATGCAACTTGTCCTCAGGATTGCACTTCTTTGTACTGCAAAACTCCCCAAGGACCGACCATCCATGAGAGACATCATTACAATGCTTGGAGAGGCAAAGCCACGAAGGAAAAGTGTTTGTCAAGACAATTCTAGCAAAGAGAGGCCTATCTTTAGCACCTCACCAGTTATAGGTCTTCTATAGTTTCTTTTTTTCCCTTTCAGGCTAATGGTTTCTCTAATTTCTTGTTTATGTAAATTTTCTTGAATAGCCTGCTGTTTCTTGAATAGCCTGCTGTTTCTTGAATAGCCTGCTGTTTATGTAAATGTTCATATAAAATCACATATCCTAAAGAATAAAAGCATCTTTAACCTTTCGCACTCTACATATAAACTTTATACCAGATAATATTTCAATCCCTCTGCCTCCCGAGACTGCAAACCGATTGCATCCCGTTTACGAATACTTGTATATAAATGTAAACTGTAGTCAATGAGATCTTGTAATAAGACTTCCAATTGATACTTACATGATATATAAGTACTAAAGCTGCAGGTGTCACATTTGATATCTATCTTCTAGTATCTTGGGTCCTGCCATTAGTTAATAAATCAACAGCAACAAGTGAAACTTTTGGGAAATAAAGAAACGAATTGAGGAACAGAAGGTTAACACAGCATTCTAGCGCTTGTCCCAGACACAATAAACCTACATCTGCAATCATCAAAACTTCGGCCATAAAAAATGAAAAACACTATCTTTCAGAGATTTGAAGTTCCTCGAGTGATTCCCTTGTGAACAAAGGATTGAAGATTTTACTCCTTTGCTATCATATCCAAGAAGATGACCCTTGAGAGTTGAAAACTGCATAATTAGTGTAAACACAACTATATGTGAAGCATAACATATTCCTTAAATATGTTTCATCTTACTGAAAAGTGTTATGGAAACAAATTGCTGAATGATCACCAACCTTAAATAACAGTAAAACAGAAAAACGGTGGAGAAGGAAAAATATGGCACCTCTTCTCAACCCAAGGAAAGATTACCCCCTGTACAACTACTTGCATATCCTGTGCTCAAAAGGATGAATATTTGCACTCTTCACCTTTCAAGGTATGAATGCAAGAGCAGCAAATTCTTTTAATCCTAAGCTGCAACATCTAAAAAGGTAGTTTCTGATGCACTCCCTTCATCAAGAAAGCTGCTAGACAATGGCTGGAAAATATAACACAGAAAGACTCAGTCCTTAACCAACATAACCCACTTAATCAAGAAACACTATTTGTATTTGGCATCAATAGCATTCCAATCAGAAAGCAGCAGAAAGTTTCAATCGCAATAAAAACATTATACCACCAAGAACATAGTACTACATGAAAAAATGTTTAGTTATACCTCTCTATAATCAACTCGTGATAAGAAAAAAGGCTCTTTCTCTCGAAGCCCCCCATTCTCATGAAGGATTCTCTCCAAATCCTGCAAAAACAATGGAGAGTCAATCATGACACTAACAGCAGTAGACTTCATTTGTATTTTCTGGAAAATGTAATGACACAATAAAAGTCAATCACAATGGTAGGTTCAATTCTTTAAGATATTCTAGACTTTCACTAGAGTGAGTTGAAGAAACCCACCAAGCAAAAAGTTTGCACCATGGTATTCAGTGCAGGGGTACCATATTGTTTATTTCAACACATTTGCAAGCCAACATAGAAAAGGGGTAAAAGAACACCATAAATACCTCCACAATTTCAATTGTCAACTGCTTGGCCATTCTAAATTCTCAAACTCTGACATGGCAACATATTTGACCGGGGTGGCACTTCAACAGATCACTTAATCTAATCATCCTAACATTCCCTTACATTTCAAAGTTCCTTATAAGTTTATAAATGTGTAATTATAAGTGGAGACCAACCAAATTCAGAAGAATTCTAGGATAGTTAATTCATTTAAATAATTTAAACTAACAAGCTTTACCTTTCCAGTCAAGATTTCAAACTCAAGCAACTCTTCCACAATCTTTTCAAGAACTCGTCGGTTTTTCTTAAGCATTTCCTTTGCCTTTTGATATGCTAAATCATAAATCTACACAAATAACAAGCAACTGTTATAGAGATTCAGTAGCCAATGTCATAGTAATTATAGTAATTTGACCTCTGAAAGTTCTATCAGGAATCATACACAAAAAGGAATTAAATATACACTGTATCAACTTTGTGAGATACCTTTTCGACTTTAGTTGCCATCTCAAACTCATGATTGTTTCCCATGCTCAAAGCTGTAACCTATAGCAATGAAGGAAAATTCCAACATGAACAATCTATTCTGGACAAAAAGGGATTATATATTACTAAAGCAACCAGAACAGCAAGCTCATAATCAGTTGCTACTAATAAAGTGTAACTCTTTAAGCTTTAAATGGGTTAACATGCAGTAAGGATTAACAATATGGACAAAAATTCAAATGCTATCAGAAAGCAACACAGCCACTGTACGTATGTACATCGATGATCTCTGAGGTATTTTAGCATGTATCAAAATAAAATATTAGTCCAGAATTTCAATATGATCCAGGTGAGATTGTTTCAACATTTTGTTTAATAAAGAAAAGAAAGTACCGCATTACTACTATAGTAAATCGCAGGACTGTCATCAGGCCCCCATCCATACTGAATCACCATCCTTGTAGCTATCTGTTGCAAGTTTCACATAAGTAACCCAGCATCAAATAGTTAAATGAAAATGATTTCAAGTTCTCCTAAGCCTTAACAAAGTTTATACACTAGTATATGAAACGGTAAGAATATATCAACCTCCTGAGCCTGCTTTAGTTCTGATGCAGAAAGAAAATTTTCTTCTCCAAAAGGAAGTAGCAGTTGTGCTGCAATATGTGACCCAAAGCAGAACACAAGCTTCTTTTCAAGGTAAGACCTTGATTCAGCATTGGCATACATGGACCCTTCATTGCTTGCCTTAGTAATCTTTGTACACCCAATTCCCTGAAGAATGGGAAACAGTGAATTAGTTTTCCTATATTCATCCTTCTCTAAAACAGGTTGACTACAGACTTTTGCTGCCGTTAAAATATGGAAGAGTTATATATTCACATATTTTGCATACTAAAAGCACTACAACTGCAATAAATACTAAAGAGTTCGAAGGAAAAGATGAGCTGACAAATCATTGCAACCAACAACAAACAATATAAAGTAACTAGCCATGCCTCATACAGCCTTCTTGTGATTCACTGACTCCTGACCCATCTTTATTGCACCAAATCATCTCACACATACAGAATAAATAACCATTATAAATACGGCCTTAACAATAGCATTTCAATTTTTCGATGGCATCACCGTCTTACTCTCAAAGAAGAATGATGCTTTGTTTATCATGTGTGATTCAATTTGGCCATGTCACATACAGCATATAAACATATTAGCACTTGGATTTTCCCTGTGACCATTTTCTATCATCGACCTAAATAATGAAAGCCCCTACAATGGATGCAAAACTAAAATAAAATGGAGGCAGGGAATATGGTTTGACACCAATATTACACATTTAGCAAACTACATTAGGATGTATAGTCATTGTTATAACATAATGCCGATATAGATTTTACAAAAATGACAGGGAAAAACATTTTTCATCGCAGCTAGATAACAAGAATTAACAAACTATAAAACAAGCAAAAACCAACATGATAGAAGTACCAGCATCATTAGTTTACTCCAAATACCAAAATAAAGCAGTTACAGCCCACCTGCGGGTTTCAGGTTTGGATTAAGCATCAAAGCACAAAAGTTACACCATAGCCCCAGACTTCTTAAAGATAAATAACACTAAACATACTTCAGGAATGTAATCCAAAGATATGAAAATTGCTAACCTCCCATGAGCAAGGCTCAAGCCATAGATTATCCACAACATCAAAATTTGGTAGAAGTAGTGCGATGAGACCACGACCAGCGGCCCAAACAGCATGCGGGAACTTAGTCTCCCTTGTCCACTGCAAATCATCAGACTGACAATAATCAAACTATTTTTTTTTTTTTTGGGTACAAGCGTTGATCAAACTTTTATCATGGACAAAAGCAAGCCAAAATCTTCTACATCATTCTGAGTAGAGCAATACAAAAGATTAATAGAAGATTCATCACTTAAAACTATCAAACATACCATTCATATAAGGCATCAATATATGATTACAAGCTATGTCATACACATTTGTCAGCACATAGAAAATTCAACAGCAACTAAAACCTTGCACTTCAATTAATCATCACGTTTCATTCATTACACACTTTATTAGGATTCATAAATTTTGAGATCCTCAGACTAGCACCTAAAATTTTCTTTCAAGACAAAAAAGAAACTAACAGCAAACTATTAAGAAGACATGATGTATAGCGATGGAGTTGAATATTTAAAATAACAAGCAAGATAGTTACTGACATCAAGGGGAGGATTTAGGAGTTCTATTCCATTGCTTATCTGACCATATGGCTCCATCAGATCAACCACATTCTGCAGATCCTCTTTGGTCAATGTTAGTCCAAGATGATTCACCAGCCTTTTACTAACTTGCTTGACAATTTTGGTATTCCGCACCCATTTTGGGACCAAGCCACTGAAAGTCTGTAAAAGCAGTAAGATTTAAACCTATATCATTTACTTTAAATCATTTTTAAAAAAAAGCAGTATTTACCACCATTTAATATAGATTATTTATAAAATTCAAATGGGAAACAGGTAAACTATCAAGGAAGAAAAACTGATACTTCGAATTTCAGGAAGAATAATACAGGTCCATTTATGAGATTATTATGGACCTGGCAAAGCACTAACATCCATATCTAATTCCCAACATAACTGGCTGTGGTCCTTGTAAGAGAATCATTATAGAGGCTGAATTTCTAATGATACACAGTGACCATAAAATCATTATTTGAGTCATTTCTTACCGCAAACCAACTACAGTAGCTCATAAGTTCATCCGTATCAAGAAACTTGCTCCTAAATGCACTACCTTCCAAGGCCACAGGAACAAGTTTAAGTTCTATAGGCCGCAAAAGAGCAGTCTTCTCAGCAACCTAATGAAATAGAAGGATCATGAATCAAAAGTATAATAGTAGATAGTCAAGACTTAAATGCAAAATGAAAACCTATTAACAAGAACTAAAATTCAGCAAGCAAACAAAATGCAGACACGAGAGAAAGACAGGAGATCAGTAAGCAATGAAGGTTAAAAAATTCATTTTAAAAAAGTTAGTAGCAATTAGCCAATTGAGAAGCAAAAGGTAATATGAAGTATTATAAGAATATACGATAAAACACGTGCATCTGCTCACAAATAGATCTTACGAGAAGAAGGTTAAAATGACCTTTTTCCAGTCTACCAGATCTATAAGCTCCTCATCCATGGTTTCTTTTGCAGCAATCCGTAGTATCTTCTCCCTTTCTGCTTGAGTTGGCCTTTGAAGACGAAATACTCTATCCATACGACCAGGCCGTTGTAAGGCCTCATCAATTTGCTTGATATTTCTAGTGGTAGCCATCAAAACAACCCCATCTTGTTTCTCAAACCTGCAAAAAGGTCAACGTTCATTAGCAAAATAAAAACATGACAACCTTTTCACTGGTGTTAATAATGGTCCATGACTCTACATGATAGTGAAATTACATAAACAAGAAAAACTTTAAAAAAATAAAAAAATCAGTTCCAAAAGGCGAGGACACATGATTATAAAAGCAGGCAGCTGGGCCAATTATTAGAAAGCTTCCAAGAGAAGTGAAGAACTTTAGTAAATGCAGGCAACCAGGCCTTTAAGTTATGCATTGTTGTCTATCTTTTGGAACGCACTGGTAGGCTACTGGAATCCCCAGTCAGTTATCATGAGCAAGTAATATATCTCATGAAGAAATCTTAATCAATGCATATAGAGGACTTTCAGAGCCTTTGAACCACATGAATAAAAGCGAAACTTATAATTACCCATCAAGTTCCACAAGAAGTTGATTGATGAAGGCCTCATGGTCCTGCTTTTTTGTGTGAATAAACTTTCCACGGACACCAGCAAAGAGGTCAAAATCCTCTACAAATATAATTACGGGTGCCTAGAGAAGTCATTTCACAAATCAGCAAATATTGGACAATGTATGATTAAAAAATTTGTAAAGTCCTTTAAAGGATACCAAATTATAAACACCACAACTAAAACGTTAGTCTAAAAGAAAAAAAAAATGTTTTGTCAAGAACCAACAGTCTATTAGTAAGACAACTACTATGGTGATAGATTAAGGATGCAAAAGAAAGTTTCTCTACATCTTTAAGACATTAATAAAAATGGTATAAAACTAGAAAGCTAAAAAATTTATAGAAAACAAATTCACAAAAACAAAATCATATTGATTTCAAATACATAAGTAAATGGTTTGGTCACGACCAAGAAGGCCCGATGAATAACAAGGTGCAAAAAAATTGCATGACTAAAGTAGCAGGGAAAATTTTGAATGTAAAAGCATGAGCTCAAATTAAGTGGAATAGAGCACAACATAGCGTTTAGCAAGTTGATCCAACTTTAGCGAAGAAACAGATGCAGACCCAAGGAAGAAAGGAAACAAAACGAACTATGAAAAAAGGAGCATCCTATCATATTTATTACTTACAAGTTCTCAATAGAGAAAAAATATAGAAGAATGTAGAACAGCATAATTATATGACTTTTGTATCGTACACCCACATTTCAACCTGGATGGTTGGAACTAGAACCTGAGCTGTATTATACTTTCCAATACAAAATTATTTAATTTCAAGCAATTAAAAGAGCAAAATCTGAAATCAACAGTGAGGCTCATAGAGGACTACCAAATCCCTCGCTGTCTGAAAAAGTTCCCTAACATTTGATGCACTTTGGCCAACCCACAGCCCAGCCTCCAATTGTTGCGCTTCAACATTGACAACTGGTACCCTAGCCTCGGCAGCTATGGCTAGCGCTAGAGATGTCTTTCCTGTTCCTCTCTCTCCAACTATAAGAACTCCCTGCAATATAACAACAAATTAGCCCTTATCTTGGCCATGCCAAATGAGATGTAGATATCTTTTTCTTATACTTAAAGATCTGTTAAAGTGCAAAGCTTAATTTTACATTCTAATCTTAACAAGTGTTACTGTTCAAATGCACCCTCTTTACAGTTGAATAATACAAACTGTTTCAAATCTCATTATCAGCCTCAGCACAACTATATAGTATAGGACAGATATTAGATTCATGCCATGCATCACGGGGAATTCTTGCTGTCTAATTGATACTCTTTCATAAAACGTGAGAGAATGCTGAAACCATTAAGTATAAGCAGACACAGCAAATGACTGTGCGATCAGCACCACTGCACAAAAGCCCACCATTACAAAAATTTACAACACGAGAATAAAGTGATATTTCACAGTTTATTGGTTGTAACAATCTCATGAAACCCAAAGAACCCTACAAAGCAGGACTGAACCACAATAACATCATCATCATCCTCCCCTTCCTGTGGAGACAAGATAGCATGATGCCACTGGGTAACAAGCCCAGTGGAAATCAAGATCATGGTTCTCATTGCGATGTTCATCATTCCTCTCCTATTTGCTCTTCCATATATTAAAACCATAATTTCATTTTTAAGCATCAAACACAAAAGAAAAAAGGTAAACAAATGTCCAAACTCCAAAATGATACATAAAATACAGATGTAATAAGATTAAATATAGCATCATATGTATCTTTTTCAGAATAACCTACCCTAGGTGCACGGGCACCCATTTCTTGGAATGCACCAGGATTCTGTAAAAAGGCAACTACTTCATTGATTTCCTCTCTCATGGACTCAATGCTAGCAAAATCCTTCAAGGGGATTGGAGGATTTTTTACCCTCTGCATGCCAACGACAAATCTTTAAAATAATATCATAGAAAACTTCAATTGTTAAATACAAAAAATCTTTTGAGTGTCAGGTACAAACCTTCATTCCGTCAAAAGCAGTTCTTATGGGATCAATGCCAGCCTTTTTCTTACGTTTGATCTTCCTCAGCCTATAATTAAAATAGCCTTTCTGCAAGGTAGAATACAAAACAATTTTGTATCCAGTCAGCTGCACCTCAAAGTTGAAATGTAGAGAAGGTCTATGCCTAAACAAAGCCACAAGAAAACCTATAGCAAAACCATTATATGTAACTTACACTCTTAAAAAGCTACAGATATAACAATAAAAAATACGCAAGTTTAGAAAACCAAAATTTAAAAAATTAAAAAGGGAAGAAAATAATACCACTCTCCGCAATTTTCTTATGTTTGGATCTTTTCGTATAGGTCCATAACCAAGAACTTTTGGCACTTTTCTTCTGAGGAAGCGGAACACATGAAATAAAATAAATCCGTATATAGTGCTTCTAATGAGAAACCAAAGAAACCATTTTAAGTCATCTGTCTTTCTGGACTTGAAATTCATTTCTGCTTCAGACTGCCATTTTAGGTACCATGTGGAGGCGACAGTTTGACCTATTTCCTCTGGCCATGCCATCCCCAACTGCATTCTCACCTGTAACCATGGCAACCATAAAACTTGTTTCGAAACATAAGCAATAAACAAATAACTGGCATCTGGAACAGCACGAATGCACAAACAGAATTCATACCGGGTAAGGAACGATAAATTCAATGAGTGGGAACACAATCACCATCATTATGTCATCATTTATATTTCTAATTTTCTGATAAACCCAATCTTTTCCATATGATACAAATTTTGTCTTCCATAACCCAGTTAAGCCTTGATGAGCCAGCCTTATTGTCAAGAGAAACTGCTGACGAAAATCCAACTCTGACAAAGGGATATACATCAATTGAACAGCAGTTGGGATACCACAAGCAAGCATTTTCATGTATAGCCCATCAAACCCTCCAAAATTCTCATATAGCATGTCAAATTCCTGGCGTCAAAAGAAGAGGACAAAAGAAACCCTTAAATAAGAAGCATAGCAACGCAGCTCATGTAGTCAATAGAAAGGCTTTTACACTCACGTAACCTTGATGTCAACAAAATATTCCTTGTCATCCCCTTTCAACGCAATATACATCATAGCCCAGTCATGCCTAATTCGAGCATGCTCTACTAACTTCTTAGACACAGCGTAAGGAACAGCCATGGGATCCATTTCCCACCTGCTTCTCTCTTCATTGTACCAAGTCTTTGCAACCACTCTATCTCGATCCAAGAGAATGCGTTCCTGCAATAAACTTTTTCTATATTAGTAACAATATAAACCACCAGATAGAAGCTTTATGAATAAAGCCATGCAAATATCTTGTGGTTAACCATATTAACCAACTAATCGCTTTTCTTAATCAATAAGAAAATAGTCTCATGAAAATAGGTCTTCTTCTTTTGGATAAGTGAAAAATAAGTCTAATGATATCTGAAGATTAATTATACATCTTCCACATCAATGGCCTTTATGATCTGAAGGAAGGATGAAATAATAAAATGTTATAATAGTAAGATAAGCATCCTCCCCATATGAGTTTCTGTAATGTGTAAAATTCAAAAACACCTCCATAAAAAGAGCTTCCTGTCAAGGAAAATGCTACCTGTCTTTGAGCTACATAATGTTTGCCAAACTCGGCATCTTCCAACAAGCGTCTTTTTAGATCTACTTTAGCTTCTTCACGCCACTTCTTCCATCCATGATACAAATGGAGACTAATGGCTTTAGGAACAACAACCTCCTTATCTCCAAACGTCCACTTCAATTCAGCTTCCGGAAATCCTTTCACAACTTCATCCTCAGGAGTTTTTACAACAAAACGCCTTTCGCTACCAAATTTTTTCATCCTTCTTCTTATGCGAGACTCCAGGTTCCTCTGCATCTCCCTAGAATCTTTAAGACATTGTCTTATACGTAAAGCAAAGTCCACAGAATCTTCATTAAAGAATGGTCCAAGATCTTCAACCTCCACAACACTAGGCAAAATCATCTGTTCAAAGTGTTTTCGTTGTGCTGCTTCCAGTTCATCTCGAATTTCAGACCTTGAAAGATTTGTAATAGAGCCTCTCAGGGTGCTGCAACCACAAACCCCAATGCTTAAATAAGAAGATGATGTTTCATCTAACAAAATCATTTTCAAAAATGAAAATTACATTTCAAAAATAAGGGGAGAAAATCTCTGGGAGAAACTCATATACTCATGTAAGATTATGTAACCAGCTAGAAAGACTAAACCTTCCAACCAGTCCATCTATTTAAGTCAGCATCAAGACCAAGTATGTCAAAAATGTTGAAAGTTAAAATTAGAAATTATCTACATCGTCAAAGTTAAAATTGTTTGCCGCTATCAATATCGCATCTCAGAGATTAGAAGTGAGTTTACACATTTAAGAAAAACAAATGAACGCAAGGCAGAAAGTCACGTCTTTAACAAGCAAGTCAAACTAAAAAATAAATAGAATAACGACAATGCTATTTGGTATTTGCCAGAGAAAGAAAAGACACAGTTAGAGAACCAAATATTGCACTTAGACTAGGTAATGGGATATTTTGAAGAATGCAAAGTCTAGTCCACAAAAAGAAGAATGAAGAAAGGGTGAATAAAAGAAACAAGGTGATAAACGATAAAAACAGATAATGTCATAGCATGCCACAAATATGGATTACTGCACACCAAATTTCTAAAAAATTTACTCGCGCACATTCAATTCAGATCAAACTCCAATAAACCAAAATTTAAACACATAAAGATAAACTAACATCACATAATGTTTTACCCCTGAAAATGCTCCTTCCGCCTCATTTCGCTATTAAATCTTTGCACCAACTCCTCACATTCCCTCTCAATAAAACAAAGCTCCCTCACACCGATACTCAATGCGGTTGTCTCTCTCCTCAAAATCTCATCCTCAATCTCTCCAATTCTCTCCCACATCCCACTATACTCCTCCTCCATTCTCTCCAATCCCTCTTCCAACTTATCCACTCTATCCTTCCCCTTCCCTTTCCCCCCTCTCCCACCGACCACCTTCCCCTTCTCTCTCCCCACTTTCACCGCTTGATCCACAATCTCCTCAGCCCTTTTCTCTAACTCCTCTTTCTCCCTCTTCAGCTCCCTTAATTCCATATACAAGCCCCTCATTATCTCCCCTTGCAACTCCTCTTTCTTCACTCTCACAGCTTTTAACACTTCTCCAACTTCCTTAACATCACCATTTCCATTTCTAACCTCCTCTACCTTCCTCAACAACCCAGAAACCACCTCCAATAACTTTCTCGTATAATCCGAAAACTCATGCTCATCTTTCCTGAAAGTCCCTTCCTTTTCTTCTTCTTTCCCCTTCACTGTCACTTTTTCTACTACTGCAGCCATTGCCACACCTTTAAACTCCCCATTTGGACTCAAATTTGATAGCCCAACAGCAAAACAAAGCAAAGTAAAAGCTAAATTCTTAACTAAGGATTGAAATGAAAAATAACCAGACGAGATTTTGGCTTCTTTTTCCATATCCTCCCTTCTGGGTAGTATCAAATTCTGATGTTTTACAGGTTTGGAGCTGTGGGGAGTTCCTCGGAAGGCAAACGCATCAAACTTTAGCTTAATGGGGAGGGTTTTGAGGGGTTTTTTGGTAAATTTATGGGTTCTGATAAGGTGCCTTGTTCTGAAATTGGGTGGAGAGATTTGAGAGAGGCATGGTGAAGTGAATATGGAGTCCATTGGGAGGGTGAAGATTGATGAAGCTAAGGAGAGGGTGTAATTGATAAGATGGTCGAAATATTGGGGTTCATTTTGAAATGTTGGGAAAAGTTAGAGATTAGTTTTCTAAAAAAATAAAAAGTAGAAGCCTGCAACAATGAGGGAGAAGAAGAGAGTTAAAGAGATAGAGAGGTTTTATGGAGGGATTGACGAGGGAGAAAGAAGAAAAACCGGATAAACCAATCTGGTTTTCTTATTTGTTCGGTTTGGCCTGAACCGGGTTCGTGATTAGACCTTTTTGACTTTGTTTTGAAAATGTGGGCTTTGGGCCATGGCCCAGATCCAGCTACGTTGGAAAATAATGAAAATTCTTCGTTTGGATTACGAATATAACAAATTGGTAATTTGTTTGCTATTTTATATTATATATAATATAATATATCAATTTATGTCTATCTACAAGTTCTGATGCATTTATAACTTTTAATATGTGAAAAAAGGTGTTTTTTCATCATATTTATAATTTAAATTATCATTATTTATTATATTTTTCATTATAATTATAAATTAATAAAAAAATTAAATCATGTTTTTATTAAAAAATAATTTATTTAGTTCAGAAGATTTTATTCCTTATATATTTTTGAGTTGTAGCCATATAAAAAAAACTAGAAGTGAATACAAATATTATTGCATGTAAGTAGGCACATGCATCATTTCTTTATGATACAAATAGTGTGTCACAATACATATCAATTTATAAAGTCTTTTTATTCTGTTGTAATTAATTCTTATAATTTTGTCTTATGAAGCTTTACAAATTAAAAATAATGCGAACATTTAAATATTTTATCTCAATTTAGTATATAATTGATCATGATCTTCTTTTATGATGAAAAGATTCATAGTAAATCATAGTCTCTTTTTGGGGTTGAAAGATTCTCTTTTATTTTAAGAAAGATATATTGTTCTTAGTAACACATCGTTAATATTGTTAGAGACGGTTTTAGTATCAACTATCACGATCTATAAATATTGTCCGTTTAAGTTTCGTCAAGGCTCACAATTTTATTCTACAAAATATATTTTATAAGTTAAATATAATATGAACATTTAAATATTCAATTTCATTTTAGTATGCAGCTAGTATGAGATTCATGATTTCTTTTTAAAATCGTAACACATTACATGTAGTTTTATTTTTTTACATTTTAATTATAAGATAGATAAAATTTTATTAGATCTCGAATATATAGTAGTGACAATAAATATAAACAAATAATTTAATAATTTATTTTCAAATAAAAGTAATTCAATAGAAGTTAAATTCTTTTATCTATATATCAAAATTCTTATCGATTAGTTTATAATTATAATTTAAAATTATATTCAACAAATATTATTCTGATCATTTAAAAATATAACAAATAAATATTTACTTTTTCTCCATCAATTAAAACTTTTACTTATATTCATGTTTGTAAATGTATTAGAGCTATAGATTTATTATCACTGTTATATAACCAGCATCAAATAAATTTTTTCTCTATATTATAATTAAAATTAAAAAACTGAAAAAGAGTCATTAACGTGCTAGTTTAATTTAAATTAAATGCTTCCTTAAATAAGAAGGTTTGGTAGGTCGAGATAAAAGCTTACCTTTTACAGGGTTCAATCGGGCATGGTCCGTTGACATCTCTACCCATAATAAAAAATTTTATTTTCTATTATTATTAACTTAATTTATTATATCAAAATAATAAAAAAATTATAACAAATAACAAAAAAAACTGTATAATACTTAAGAAAAATTTGTAACAAATAACAAACAAATTGTAAAATGCAACAAAAACTTGTAACACAAAAAATAATTTGTAAATATAACATATAAAATTTTTTTTAATATTTTTTTAAAAAATTGTTCACATTAAATTTACCTCAATCATATGATAGATCATAAATTTAACACGAAATTAATTGTAAAGTGTCAATTTAAGTAAATATATGAATTTATTAATGGCAGTACTTACTTATTTTTACAATTGAAAATAAATTTATTTGTAATTGAGATTTTTAATTAAAAGTTTATACTTTGTTTGGTATTTTACTTTTAATGAAGTAAATATGTGGCCTTTCAAAAAAAAAAGAGTAAATATGTGAATATTGTTTGTTTACTTTTATGATTATTTTATTAAATTTTGCTTTTCGAGTTTACAAAATTCTCCTTTCTAAATTCCAGAATCACCAAATTGCCACCCTTAATAAAAAATTTAACAAATATTTTAAAGCCGAGCGCAAGTTAAGTTTTTTCTAATTTTTCTTTACGTCTAAAAAAATACACAAATATCAAACGTTTCCCTCCTCCTCTAGAAATCTGAGTCTGATTTCCGCTTCAACCGTGCGTCCTCTTGTCCTATGGTGAGTCAACTCGTTCTCTGTAATCTGCGATTTCTAATTCACTAGCCCTTCAGGCACCGAGTCGAAGTTAAATAGTGCTTGAACTTCGAATCGCATGGTCCTTTTTTCGATGATTTCTAGTCATAGTTTTTTCATTTCTATCAGTTTTAAGTGATTAGGCATGTTAATGGCGTTGTTGTGTTAGAGGTTTAACGGAGTTTTTAGATAAAAATGAGAAAATTTTGGAAATGTGAGTCTTGTAAGAGTTTATTTTATTGCTTACAGAGATGGAAATTGTGTTATAATTATGTTACTTGACTTTTTCTTTGGTTTATTAAGAAATTTCTTAGTTCAACATGCTAAATGAATGAGTATTAGTTAGTTGCGGCCACACATTGGTGTTAGAGTTTGTCTAGTCATTGATATTTTGCTATGTTTATTTTGTAATTTTCTGTTACTTAGGTTTTGCAAGAATTAATGAGGTTGATGCGGTCATTATTAGAGGGTTTATTAGTATGTTATAGTTAGTAATGAGCCAATTTTGAAAAACATGGGTGTTTTCAAAGTGCTTTCATTGATTTTGAACTTGAAATTTTGATTAGAAAGTATAGTTTTGGTTGAAAAATTGCTTAAGTTAGACTTAGTTGTGGAGCTGTTTTGTGTGCATTGGTGCCGTTAATGTCCAAAGGGGCAATTAGTTATGGCCTTTTTTTTTTTTTTATAATTGGGGGAGGGGGGATTCGAACCCTGCTCTTTAGGCAGGGGGATAATGCACCAACCAATGAGCCAAATGCTCGGGTGTAGGCAATTAGTTATGGTTTTGATTTCAGTTTTGAATGGTTGTTCCTAGGACTTATGCAGTTATATTTGTTACACTGTGTTAAGAAGAATTTTATTTTGGAAGTTGTTGATTTCCATGAATACATTCACCAAAAACTACTGTCCAACCTCATATTACAGTTGCTTTTCTTTTTCCCTCCTTTCTAGTGGCCTTTTCTGGGAATATGACAAAAGTAGATTCATATTTGAGTTTTATAATGGATTTGAGTTGCGTTTGTCTATCAACTTAAGATGGTTTCACTTCTTCCTAATATGACAGTACTAACACTTGAATGTTTACTAACTTGGTTACATATATCATGGAGTGCTTTAAGTTCAATGTCTGGTTTTGTGAACAACGTTAATGTAACATTAAGAATTAAAAACCTAGCATACCTTTTGCAAATTATTTATTTGCAATATGTATGTTGATAGCTAGCTGCATTGCATATTCAATTAAGTGTTTTCCAAATTTACTTTTGAAGTTATTGAGTTGAATGTGTAATTGTATGAATCTTTTCATTTAAATGAGATATTTATCTAGTAATTTTTTGTGTTGGGTAGGGTTCTTTACCAGGAACTGCCTTAATGATTTGTCATACTTGTTAGATGAGCTATAAAGATGGAGCGCGCTAAAAGTTTTGCTATGTGTAAAAATATTATCTTATTGAGCTGAAAATGAGGGTTGATGAAATGATTATGTTGAGGTGGATGCCTGGTAAACCAGGACAGGAAAATATAAATACTACAGCTCTTTGCAAAAGGATAGAGGTGGCACCAATTAGGGCTGAGGTGAGATAAGGGCGACTTAGATGGTTTGGTCATGGGGCAGTGCATGCCAAGGGATGCTCTGGTGCCGAGGGCAGTTTGAGCCAAGTAGGAGGGAAGAATAGTCATTAAAAGGGATTTGGAATGGTCCCATTATATGTTTCAGAGGGTATAGCTCGACTAAGTGGAATGAAGCAAATGGATTCACGTAGTTGACCTCAACTAGCTTGTGATCAAGGGTTAGTTGAGTTGAGAATATCAACGTATTTACCCTTGATTTCTGTAAAATTGTTATTGTCATTCATAGGAAAACCTCCAAGTGGAAGAACCAAAGGCAAAGGCAAATGTTCTAAGACAAATTAGCACAATACAATTGGTGGAACACGTAGAAGAATGCTTTTTTATTTACTTTAGTCGTAATTAATTAAATTATCATCGAATTAAAGAATGTTTCTGGTCCATTAAATGCTTACTTCTGCTGCAATAGGGTTGAGCAAATGGATCCGACCTGAACAAACTGATCGAACCAAATTGAGTTTAGTCAATTCGGTTAACGTTCAATTCTGTCATTAATGGTCAGTTAGTTTGGTTTGATCAGTCGGTTCTTGGTGTCTAGATTTTCCAATTGAACTGACTGAAGAATCAAACTTAAATAATATATTGTTGAGTTATTATATAAATATATTATTTTTAATAATAATTATTTATCCCTCATAATCAATCATATATATTGTTCCTTCCTCGAGAATGTTTATTGAATGTTTGCTTAAATTATTTTCTTTATGTTGGTTTTTATTATATGTTTTATTTAGATGTTAGATGTTATTTGTATATATTGTGTTAGATGTTATTTATATGTTGTTAGATGTTATTTATATTGTGTTCGATGTTATTTATATGTTAGATGTTAGATGTTATTTATAATTTCGATGTTTCAATTTTATAAATTATAAAATGATATTAAAATTTTTATTTTGAGGGGTAAATGGCTGAATTTGTTCGATTTTCGGTTTGTTTGGATATCCCTAAATTTCAATCAGTTTTTGGGTGCAATTCAGTTTGTTCAGTTTTTGGCCTTTTCAGGTTGAACAGACCATTTGCACAGTGCTAGCTACAACAAGACAAATATTGATTTTATTTAGGTTTGCACTACTCCTCTTGATGTCACCAAAGTGAGAATAAAGTTAAGTAGAGAATTTGATGAGGATCCCTTAAAA